AAAAAATAAAAAAAAACTTAAAAAAAAAACACTCAAATCCCTCAAAAAGGTTTTTAAAAGCTTCATTTTCTAGAATAACTAAAGTATATGTATAACAGATGATTTTTTTAAGTAGGTAAAGGGTAGTTTTAATGAGTAATCTTTAAAGTTAATAGGATACAGACTGACAAAGTGATGTGAAAGTGATTCTGAAAATACTGTTTAAACTCCCAATCTATCTCAATTACATTTTTCAAATTATAAGTAACATAAATGCAAGAAATATGATACTATAATAAATGGTGACTTTTGTCTGTTTTTTGATAGGATGTTGATGCTACAAACCCAAATTACGAAATTATGTGTATGATCAGAGACTTTAGGGGAAGTTTGGATTATAGACCGTTAACTACAGCAGATCCTGTAAGATTCTTTTTTTATAAATTATCGTTCTAGGACTGTTCATATGGTAAATAAAAAATGTGTTGATGCTCAAACTCACTAAACTTTTGTTATATTTAGTTTTAGGTTTTTTCTTTCTTTATGAGGGGTGATCACCAATATTTTAAGGAGAAAACCAAGAAATCATCTATTTTATACTCACCTCCCATAATTTTAAATGTTAGAAGTGCTGCTGCCCTCAGACATACCATTTTCAAAGAAAATCCTTCCTATCTTTGGAAAGGCACAATGACATGAGAAGACCGTTTCCTTTCTGACTATCACTTATACTTTGATCTCAGTTCCACATTTCTTTTTCTTTGGCTTAGATTGTAGATTCTGCCACCTTTCCAATTTGTTACTAATTTGTTATTTTTAAATAAATGGTATTCAGATTTTTAACAGTTGCTGATGGTTGTTGAGGCTGCAGTGGACCAAAAATCCAGTACTGAAAAAAGTTCTAGTTTCATTACTCATTTCTTAATTCATTATTCATTTCTCATTGAAGAATGAGAATCTGTTACACAGATAATTTTATGAATAATAGTACTTATGAAACATGTCTGACCTAGCATATACACAATATATTAGTTACATGAAATACATTTGCATTAGGCAGATGTGTTATTAGGATTAAATAGAATTGTTCTTCAAACACTTGTGTCCCACATATTTTAGGTCTTGCTACACTTTCTTCATCTGAGCTCAATGTTTAGGACAGGCAAACTGGCAAACTTTTTCTGAAAGGGGTTTGATGATAATAAATGGTTTGGACTTTCATTTCTTTATTTAATTACTATCTAAAGAAGGTGTGTATTGAAAATGTTTTATAAAAATACTTAAGTGTAAAATCATCATATTTTTAAAATTGTTTAAATTATTTTACTCAATAATCTGAGAATCTTCTTTTTTGCCTACAGTGATCTTTGACAACTTTCCATATAACAAAGCTGAAAATATGCCACTTGGTAGAATAGAGATTTTTACTTTTGTTATATAAAATACATCTTGGATAAGGTACCGTCTTAATGTAAATGTAATGCTAGGAACAGTATTACCCTCTACAAAATTACTTCCTGAGGTAATGATTTGCTAAAAATAAAAGAAGCAAGTTTTCTTTGCACTCATAATTTTTGAAATAGTTGTATCTGACAGTCATTAAAATTTGTGCAAATCTAATTTGTTTTTTAAACTTACATATCATATTGATGCTGTGTTTAAATTTCTAAAACTCCTGGAGCAAATGTCACATAGTTTTATTTCCCATGACTTCACATGCTACTGGTAATCACTAAAGTAAAATACTTTTCATTCCTAGATTGATGAGCATAGGATATGTGTTTGTGTAAGAAAACGACCGCTCAATAAGAAAGGTATGATACTTAATGAGCTCGATAAAGAATTGATTTTATTTGTAATGTATTTTGATAGTAGCACTAATCAAATTTGCTTAGAAAAGTTAAATGCAATCTATTTCCTTTCATCTTATATTAACTATTGTACAGATTTCTATGTTAATCCTATTGGTTTGTTATGTTCTATAAAGCATTGCCATTCCTGGTTCTTGCTTCACAGAAATCTTGATTCTTTTAAGAGTCAAGGTTCTTTTAAATCTTGATTCTTGTTGAAATAAATTTATTGAATGGCATATTTATGGAGTATTATACTATTTATAAATCTTAGCACTTTTCTCCAAATTATTACTACTTACAGTAACTTTTGTACATTAATTCAAATGCTGTAAAAATTACTGGGCATTGATTTTCATTTGTTTTTCTAGAAACTCAAATGAAAGATCTTGATGTGATCACAATACCTAGTAAAGATGTTGTGATGGTACATGAACCCAAACAGAAAGTAGATTTAACAAGGTACCTAGAAAACCAAACATTTCGCTTTGATTATGCCTTTGATGACTCAGCTCCTAATGAAATGGTTTACAGGTGAGTGAATTAGTTTTAAGTCAGAATTTTATCCTTTTTCCATGTGTCTGTCACTACCCTGAAACTTACGATCTTGGCATAGCTCTCCAAAGGTGTTACATGCTTTTTCATTCTGCATTTAAAATAAATGTAATAAATTCCATAGGGAGTATTAATACTTGTTCTTTTTAAGGTTCTCAAAATCATAATTTTTATTGCTAACTTTAAGTTACTATATTCCTATCACAGACCCATGGGTAAGAGGTTTCTGGAAAATATTAACTTTACCTGTAGAAATGGGTGCAATGTGAAGAAAACTTCTAATTTGTACATGATCCATGCACTAATAAAAATTTTGAAATACCTATTTTTATTCATCAGTCATTAATTTGTCTGAGTATTTAGCATGTATCACCACTTACAGTAAAAAAGTACTATAGATCCACTTGGATTTGTTTGTAATTTTTATCATTTTTAAGCTTGGTGTTAATTTTAAAATACAAGATTCTTTTGTTTATATATTCAATTTAAAAACAATTCTCTTACATGATATCTCTTACATTGATATTTTTATTGCCCGTTTATTTTACAAAAATGCCTAGAAATAAATCAGAGCTAATAAGAATGCTGAGAATTGAAGATATTATAAGTGAAATATGGTTAAGACCAACTTAATTGATTCTAGGCCAGTAAGGCCAGTAAACCAAGAGTTCAGTTACAAAGAAAAAAGACAAAATGGAAGAACATACAAATGTTAAATAGTGTGAGGATTGTATTTAAAGAGGGAATTAAAACCATAGGTTGTATAATATTATTTAGCTTTCTGTACCAAAATTGTCTCCTCCACCTCACTTGTTTTTTTACCTCTGTCTCATAATATATAGGTATGTTTGACTTTTATAATGGTTTTCAAGTAATCATTAGATACATTTCTGTGTATATGATAGATACAGTAAATCCTGTTTCACCCTGTATTTTTGTTTCCTAAATTTACCAATACTTACTTGTATCCCCTCTTACACTTTACTATTATGGATAAAGGAATTACACTTTCCAGAGGGGTGGGGCTGTCTTGTCAATCTACAGACTCACTTCTAGTTCTTTTTGACCATAACTTTCCTCTGTGCCCTCTTGATATTTTACTTATAATATTTTTATCTCCTATATAAAGTATTCCACTGGTAGATTTGTTTTCTAATGTGCATTTTATTTTTAGTGTTCTGTTCAATAAAGAAATATTTGTCCCTCATCACCTTTTAACTGTAGCAATAAATTTTACCAATATGTTTGATAAATAAACCTAGCCATAATAGCTTGTCATTGTTTTCCTGAATCAAGGCAATAAACTCAGAACTTTATATCTTACAGGTTTCATTTATGTTGTTTTCATCAAGTATAAATTGTTCACATTAGAAGTAATCATAGTGTTTCTACATATTTAGAAAGTTTAAAGATGTTTTTGCAGCAAAATGAAAAATAAGTGTTTTTGCAGTGTTTCTCCCTATTATGTCTTCCGTGTTAAGGTTATCACTCTTTTAATTTTTTTCTTTTTTAAATTATAATTGAGCCTGGTGTGGTGGCACATGCCTGTAATCCCTGCACTCAGGAGGCTGAGGCAGGAGGATCATTGGGAGTTCTAGGCCAGCCTGGACCACAAAGTGAGCTCAAGGCCAGCCTGAACTGAATAGCGAGACAGTGTCTCAAAAAGACAAAAAAACTAAACAAAAATTATAATTGATATTTGTTTATTTTTATTTTAGGTGTATTATTATTGTGACCATTTTTTATTGTGGAATTATTTCTTGAAATTATATTTTAAATAACTTCAAGCAGTTTTAAGATACATTTATTTTAAATTTTTGAAGTATTTATTGAAAATGTTGCCATCTGGTTTACTTTTTAAATATTAGTTTTATTTATTGTTTAACTTAGATATTTGCAACACACTCTGACTTATACATTTTTATTTTTAAGATTTACTGCTAGGCCACTCGTGGAAACTATATTTGAGAGGGGAATGGCCACGTGCTTTGCCTATGGGCAAACCGGGAGTGGAAAGACTCATGTGAGTAGTTCGTGTGGTGTGATGCCACCGCTGTCTTTATTCATCACTTAGCTCTAGGACCTGAGTCCTAGATATTTTCCTACATTATGTCTGTAATTCTTATTTTCTTTTCAAAATATAGACTATGGGTGGTGACTTTTCAGGAAAGAACCAAGATTGTTCTAAAGGAATTTATGCATTAGCAGGTTAGTGTCTTTTTTGCATATAATTTTTATTATTCTTGGGTATTACCAGATGACTTGGAAATACAGCTTTAAAACGTTATCCAGTAATTCTAGTGTTCTATTAAATATATATCAATTGTAGGTTATCTGATTTCTTGAATAGAACTGTAAGATGAAGCTTTTGGGTAACAAAAAACTTGATTTTATTGTGTCATTGTATTTTGGTACATTGTTTGAAATTAATACAAATTGTTGAATAGGTGAATTATAAAAAAAATTCTATTTGGTATGGCTAAGAGATAACCTTAGCTAATCATCCGTAATTTTAAATTATGTATAAAGATAAGTCTGAACATTCTTTTATGAAGGAGGCTAGCTCCTTCTATAGCTATTTTTTGTCATATTAATATTCACTTTAATCTTCATTTTTATTGATATCATAGGTAAAGGTTAATACTCTAAAAGTAGAAAGGTTAAATAGCATTTAAAATACATATTTGTTATATGTTAACAATTTTCTGTATATGAAATTCTTGACAGCTCGAGATGTCTTTTTAATGTTAAAGAAGCAAAACTATAAAAAGCTAGAACTTCAAGTATATGCAACCTTTTTTGAAATTTATAGTGGAAAGGTATGTAGAAGTTTTAATTTTTTTAATCATTGTAAAATATATATAATACAACTTTTTAACCATTTTTTGGTATATAACTCAGTGGTATTTGAGTTTTTTAATAGCTCTACCACTACAAACTTGTACTGTTGTTAGAATTCATGTAAATGTCACTTAAAATTCTCAGTGTTAAACATTATTGTTTTAATAATAATTATTTTCATTGCTGAAATAATTTCCAGATTCATTTTTATAGAACTAATTCTTTTTTAAACAGCTCATTTTCCATTTGATTATGATTTTTTATAGGTGTTTGACTTGCTAAATAGAAAGACAAAATTAAGAGTTCTAGAAGATGGAAAACAGCAAGTTCAAGTAGTTGGATTACAAGAACGAGAGGTCAAATGTGTGGAAGATGTACTGAAACTCATTGACATAGGCAACAGTTGCAGGTAAACTTCATTTTAATTAAGGAAAAAGAAACTCAGATACTGTAGACATGGCATAAAAACAAGGCAGAGATGTTCTCCACTACATCTCAAGAGAAAAAAATCACTGTTATAAAAACTTCTCACACAGAGATTTGAGTGACATGTTATATTGATACTATACTAATATATTACAACAATGTCAGATTAAATTGTATGAATCTAGTTCTGTTTAGCTGTTAACTCAGTGTCTTTTTTATATTTAAATTATGAAAACTATGTAGATTTTTTACTGTTTTTAATGAAGATACCATGGTTAAGCAAAGTTTTTATGTACCAAGATATTCTTAATCACATTATAGAACATCTGGTCAAACATCTGCAAATGCACATTCATCTCGGAGCCATGCAGTGTTTCAAATTATTCTTAGACGGAAAGGAAAACTACATGGTAAATTCTCTCTCATCGATTTGGCTGGAAATGAACGAGGAGCTGATACTTCCAGTGCAGACAGGCAAACTAGGCTTGAAGGTGCTGAAATTAATAAAAGCCTTTTAGCACTCAAGGTAAATAAAATGTATTTAATTGTGAGAGGTCTTTATATGTTGGTTTTTATTTTGTTGACTCTGTTACAAAGTAATAGTACTTGTTTTACTGAACCACAGTTTACCAAGGTTTTTAAACTTCCAATGTTACCTTCAGTTAACAGATTACCTAGTTTTCCTCGCACACATTAATTCCTTTTAGGTGGGGTAAAGACTATGTGAGTTGGCAGGTCAAACCTGAGGCTAAAGATTCTGAGGATCTTAAGGCCCTTAGTTATATTTTCTTGAGGAAAGCAAGCAAAACACAGAATTGAGCTAAGATACAGTTTCTCAGGAAAAAATGTGGAATGGCTTTTAAAACATTTAGCCACTTTATTCTTTTCCTTGTAGAAAAGCGAAGGTTGAAAATACTACAAAACATTTTGTATTTTGAAATGCCACTGTAACATTTTAACTTTTACAGTTTTTCTTTACCTGTCACTTTTTTACAAGAGTGGTAAGAAGAGTGGTCCAGAAGTTACAAGAGTGGTCCAGAAGTATTTTTTAATAATAAAGTTTTGTTCTTGTTCATTTCTTAATTAACATTATAGGAACATTTTCACAGTGCTATAAAACTGTTCATAGAATTTTTACAACTCATTAGACTTTAAATGTTAAGTTGTAGTAAGAGACTTTTAAAATATGTTACTTAGGATCACTCTTCATAAGAAAGCCTCATCTGTGACACTTGCTTTCTTAATTTTCAGGAGTGCATCAGAGCCTTAGGTAGAAATAAACCTCATACTCCTTTCCGAGCAAGTAAACTCACTCAGGTGTTAAGAGATTCATTCATAGGTGAAAACTCTCGTACCTGCATGGTAAGTTTGTTTTTGTTTATTTTAATTCTGAGTTTCTTAGAAATTTTTAATATGTATTAATTACAGTCATTTGTGAGAGATACAGTGGTATTCAAGATCCTGGCCTGATGTGGTGGCCCATATGTGTGACCCTTGCTACTGAGGAGGGTAAGGCCCGAAGTATGCAAGTTCAAGGCCAGCATGGGCAGTTTAGCAAGACCCTGTCTCAAAAAGGAAAGAGGGCTGGGGTAGCTTATGAGAAGACCCTGGGTTACAGGGCATTGGGGAAATGTGATTGCTGACATTCTGATAGCAGAGATTGTGCTCCATCTGTAGTGCATTCTACTGATTCCAGCATCTGAGTTATTTCGTATATATTATCAGCTAATAGTTTGTAGAGATCTGTGAATTCTGCTGTATTCTAAAAGTTATTATTAGTTTTTGGCAATTTTAGCAAACTTAACTTGACTGAACTTACTCCAGACTCTTGTTTCCACTGGTGTGGGCAGCAACTAAAATTTTAATCTCTGTTTAGACTTAATTATGTTACCTGTAGTTTGTCTTGTATATGCCTAGCTCAGGAGTCAGCTAGACTTGGGTGATTGATATATAAAATTTGAGTTTCCCCCTCAGTTATTCTCTCCCTTCTGGGACAACTTAACTTTTCCAGCTGCTGGGATCCCTGCTCCCAAACGTTGTACTTTAGTTTTTAAGCAGTACTACTGCAAGTGTCTAATCAGATTTTAGTTGTCCTGTGTCAATGCAGCAGGGTTTGTCCTTGGTCAAAATAGTGTTAAAAGAAAAAAGTAGGTGAAAGGAGATACTGAGTGCTGTTCCCTTCCCCAAAATGTTTACCTTTATTTTCTGCTGGACTTTTATCATTTTCTGGTGCCTTCTAAAAGTTGTTTATATTTTAACTGGACTTTATAATTATTATATGATTATGAGTATTACCAAATTATCTTAAGAGTTCAGATATTGTTAATAAGTATTTTTAAATAACCTTTGTAAAATTAGACCTAGATGAGCTATCTGTAAGGATTATTGTCTTAATTATTTGTGACATTTTACCTTTCATTTTTCCCTCTGTAGATTGCCACAATCTCTCCAGGGATGGCATCCTGTGAAAATACTCTTAATACATTAAGATATGCAAATAGGTATGAGAGATGATATCCATTTTGAAGTCTGAAATCTAATACTATATTAGAACAGTATATAGTATGATTAAAATATCTACCAGGGCGAGTTTTATTATACTGTTATTTGAATTTTCAAGAAAAATTTTTTCATATGTTGTTCTTTAAGATAACATTTGTTTTGTCAAGCTTTAAAAATGAATAGAGATACATTGTGTAATTAGAGAAATATCCTTAGTAAAATTGACCATTCTGCCCTAGAACATGATTATATTTATGTTTCAACTAGTTAGATTTCATAATATTTTAATGACATTTAAATCATGTAAACCCTTCCTGTTACATTATGACTCCTAGGTGAGACTAGTCTGTATTTCTTAAGTTGTTTTATTATATGCTAAAATTATTCCTGATAGTATTACAAGTTATAAATGGGAAATCTAGAATTTGAGTAAGAAATGATAGCACAGTTATTCCTAAATTATATTTTATTATTCATGTCACTAATGTTTCCAATTTTAAAAAACAACTTGAGTCATTATGGATGAAGTGCAAAGTGCATTATAAACTATTAAAGTGGTTTATTCTTTACAGTCATGAAATGCCCCTGGAACTTTGGGCTAAGATGGGCACATTTATTCCATAGATCCCCTACTCCCACCCTCACCCTGGCTGCCACCTCTGTTTTGAATGACTGTCTATATAGTTTACAATTTTTATTATCATGTTACATTTATGATTCTAATCTATGTAGAGTTCCTCTTTGTATCCTGCTTCTCGCGTGGAAATTGTCTTAATTTTGCTTGACAAAAATATTTGTCCTATTTTGTGGTTTTAATCATAATGGAAATTTTATTTTCAATATTTTCTGAAAACGTGAAATATATGTGCATAAAAAGTACCTAAAACATAAGTGAATAATTTAATAAATACTTCTAAAGTGAAAACTCCTGTCATGTCAGGAAGTAGAACATTACCAGCTCTTCAGAAAGTTTTCTATGTTTTCCTTTATGATAACAAATTCTAAGTAATTTTCCCAAATCCATTAATCTGTGCCATGAGGTAACCATTGTCCTGACTTCCATTAATTAATTTGGTCATTTTGTTTTTGTTGTTGAGCTGAGGACTCACTATGTTGTCCACGCTGGCCTTGAACTCACAATCTATCCAGGGAGCTCAGATTACTAGCAGGAACCACTATCCCCCCCCTAAAAATAGTTTTACTATCTATGAATGTATCCTTGGCCAATGTAGCTAGCTATATATATTTAGATCATATCCTTTAGTCTTTTGTATCTCTTACCTCAGGTGAAGAGATTTTAAGTGGTAATAAACAGTGTTGGAAAGTATAAACCTGTTGACCTTTTGTAAAAGTTATTAAAATATAATAGCTACTTTTAAAATGTAGTAAGAACTTTATTTTCAAAATTTATTCCCTTTTAAAGTTTGAGTTACGAGTTCCTAGCTGTGCTGCTGCTTTAGATATATGGGATTTTATCCACTTAACATGCTGTTTTAACATTGTTCATGGAATAGTGGGGAACAGCTTAGTGTGGTAGGTTCTTTGCATTTTATAAAATTAAAACAAAACTCCTCTGTATCTTAAAACTTGAGAACTGAATAAGGACTCCCCTGAATATTATGAAAAATGACATACAGATTGAGTATCCTTTATCTGAAATGCTTGAGATTTGAAGTATTTCAGATTTTGGATTTTTTTAAATTTTGGAACTTTTACATACGCAAAATGAGATATGTTAGGGACACGATACAGTTCTAAAACATGAAATCCACTTATATTTCAAATACACCTATGCACATAAACTGAAGGTAATATTATACAGTACTTGATAAGGCTGCATTTTGACTTGTAGAACATGGGAGTCATTTGTGAAGTTTTCCACCTGTGGTGTTGTGTTGGTGCTCCAAAAATTTCAGGTTTTAGAGCATTTCTATTTTAGATTTTTGAGTGTGTAGTGTTTACCTTTGTGTCTGGCTGTTCTCTAGTTCAGTGGTGGAGAACCTGTGACACGTGCTGCTGCAGGCACACACAGGCCTCTGTGTTGGCACACAAGGCCCCCCGGCAGCCAAGCATCAGATGACAGTTTTTTTCTAAACTAAACCCTCAGTATTCAGGTTTAGTTGCAGTGTTTGCACTTTGTGATAAGTAAGTGGGTTTGGGGTTGTAGTTTGGGCACTTGGTCCCTAAAAAGTTTTTTTTTTTTTTTTTTTCATCGCTGCTCTAGTTAGTTTAGGTTCAAGTATAATGTGTTATTATCACATAATGTAGCTCGTTTGCCACACAGCTAACCATCTGGGACAAACTATTGTGTGTCCTTTTTATTTCCAAATCTCCAGGAGTAGATTTTCACTCATTGTTGCATGCCACCTATTCTGTGACCTTGGAGTCAGTAACTTTTTTTACAGTCAAGAATTCATTCCTCTTTAATATTGTCTGCCTCACATTTAGGCAAATATTTGGAGATAGTAGTAGTATTATATTAAAATTTCCATGTTTTTAAAGTATTGTTTATTTATTAAATGTTCACACTTTGTTTTCAAGACTCAGCATACTGATTGAAAAGTGTATTCTCAAGATAGAATGGGCTTAATAACTGATTTATTCCTTAAGGGCAACAAAGCCTCTGTGTCCTGCTAATATTTACTATGCAGAGGTTAATGACTGTATCTTTCTGAAAAGATTGTTTTGAGAATGAAGACAGTTAGTCTGTATAAAACATTTACCGCAATACCTGGAATATATTGAATGCATTAATTGTCCTGGTTGCTATTTCAGTGAGGTGTTTTGTCTTAAAAATTCAGTTAGGGACTAGTGAAGTTACTTCACTAGTAAAGTGCTGGTAAAGTGCTTGGCAACAAACTTGTTGCCCCAAGTTTAATCCCCAGCACTGTAGAAAAACACCAAGGAAGAGGAAGAGACAAGAGAAGAAAGAATCCTTATTTTGGGGTTGAAAATCTAACTCATCTACTTTTGAAGTGTTTTGTGGGAGTTGACGTTGTAGTAAGTGATTAAGATGAAAAATTCAGTTGTAATCTCTTGAGAAACTTAAGATATTTTATAAAGTAGAAGAGAAAATCTTCACAGTGAAAGGAGTGATTGTCCCTAGGAGAAAAGAGGTACAGGGAGTATGAGAGACAGTAGCCCCTGTTCTGACCCAAAGGATATAGTCTTTGGGTAATGGCAGACATTAATAATTGGGTCTTGGGCAGAAGCGTGATTAAGAATGTTTTCATACCATGTGTGAGTTAATGTGAATCCTATATATACTATAGTTTGGCTTGGGCAAGAGGGTATATTAGAGGAAAAACTTGTGAATGAGGTTATAGGAAAAATTTGAGGATGATGTAAAGAGGTGTCTTAGATTATGAAGCACGTAAGAAATGAAGTTGGAAGTAAAGAGTTGTTAGTATTAGGAATTTATATTTGTGTGTGTGGTTCATAAACTTTCCAAAGTGACTGTTGTTAACGAGTAAGGACAAATGAATCTAGATTGAAACTTTGACATAGATATTCCCAGTAGATCACAGTAAAAGTCTAGATAGAAAACATACATTAATTTGATTGTATGAAGTTACTGATATTTGACTGGGTTTTGACCTATGATGAAAGGCATTTCATTTAGTTTAACTCAGAAGTCACAAGGAAAACACAGACTTCCATTAGTATCGATAAATGTTATAAGGTTTGTCCTCAGGGCTAGGTTTAAACCTCAGTTACACCATGTACTTGTTAAATGACTGTGGGTCAGATACTTTATTTCTCTTAATTTTTCATGTATGAAATGAGAAATGTCAAAGATTATCACAGAAACTATATAATGTAGTACCTGATAGTGACTAATCCTTTATGTAGGAAGTATTTAGTAATTATTGCTTACTGCTATGAAATGAGATTGGCCTAGAAAGGACAGGCGGATCACAGAGATAGAGTGAGAAGTTACAATTTGATTAAATGCAACTAGTAGTTCGGTTCCCGGTACCGGAGAAACCCCCCCCCCAAAAAAAATGCAACTAGTATAAGATACTGGCAAAAGCAATTTACATTCCATTTGAGTTTTTAATCACTAAGCACAAAAAAATTGAATGACTTTTCTCAATTGTACTCAGAATATTTCATAGCTAATACTATTCCAAATGGATAAGCAGGAGTTAATTCATTACAAACCAGGGGTGGTACCTTGACATCAGTACCTAAGGAATCCTGTTTCAAAAGGTCTGCAGTAATGTTGCAAAATTATTAACAGCAGTAAACAAAATATTCCTGCTACTGGCCACATGAGAAAGTCAGATCCAATAGGCCTGTAATTAAAATAAGGATCATTTCAGATTTAGGTAATGGCCTAGTTAAATTTCTAGGGAGGTTTGTGAGAAAAGAAGAAAACACAGGAGAAAGGAAAGATTAGGTCTTACCAGTAGGGGATCAATTAGCCTAAGAGGTTCTGCAATCTCTGAAAAATTGATTGTAAAGTAATATTCTAATACATTCCTAGAAAAATGGTGATAGCCTTTTTTAAACATGTAAACCTGAATATTAAATGAATACAAAATGTGCATTGCTGTCGTTACAACAGCGTTTTCTTTTAATTTGTTGCTGTTTTGGTGCTGCAGAGTAAAGGAGTTTGGAATTAGTCCATCAGACATTCCCTTCTCACAGGGTGGTGGCAGTCGCCCTGATCTTTCTCCTTCTTATGAGTATGACGACTTTTCTCCTTCGATTACCAGGTCTACCTCTTTCTATACATAAGATGCCTATTTTGATAGTTTCTTTTGAATTGTGCTATATATGAACATTTCATTTACTTTTGTTCTGAGCCATTTTATTTTTCATTTCATTTCATTTGGCAGGTGGTTGGTTGTACTGCATGATCTGCATTTTTATGTTTTTATTATTTGCTTTACAGTGTTGATTTAGAATTCCGGCTTCCTAGTTCTCATCTTTTAAAGGATGATGTCACTTTCATATACTTAGCATTAAAAGTTACATTGTTTTGCTTCAAATGAAGAGTTTACTTTTATTCTGTATGATCTTATAAATTTCCTTGCCTTCAGGGAAATGACAAGGATATTCGTGACTTAAATTGCCCCAATATGTAAATTTAAGTATGGATAAACATTTTTAAAATGATAAATGCTTATAATGTTTATATACTGGAAATAAAATTCATTTTGAGCATTAAAACTAGCAGAAGCCTGCAAAGTATTATTTATTTTCCTGATTTTGCCCATGACCCATTTGTGGATCTAAATGCCGTTTTTAACTTTTTCTGTTCATACAATGTAATTGCAAAACAGTTTTTTCTTTGAAACTAAATCTACATACTTTGCTAATTCTTATATACAATAATTATACTTGAATTATAAAATTGCTTAAATCAACTCCTTAGTTGATTAAGGAGTTGATTAAACAACCAAATGTGCCCTTAGTAGTTCAGATTTTGCCTATAAAGGTGACATCAGTCTAACTGTGTTAATTGAATTGCCTTATATTGTATAGGTATTTCTTGTTCCTGTGCATGAGTCATTGTTAACTTTAGATGCCTGTTATGTGTTTATAGGGTGAAAGAATTGACTGTAGATCCAACTGCTGCTGGTGATGTCCGCCCAATAATGCACCATCAACCAAACCAGATTGATGATTTAGAGACGCAGTGGGGTGTGGGGAGTTCCCCCCAGAGAGATGATCTAAAACTTCTTTGTGAACAAAATGTGAGTGATGTAGTTGTGATCAATCTGATTTTATTTTGTCTTATTAGTAGCAAAGCTTAATTGAAAACTCATCTAAATCAGAGGTGAACAAACTACCCTGTTGCCAACCATCTGTTTTTACAAATAAATTTTTATAGGAATGTAGCTATGCTTATTCATTTAAGTATTGTATGGCTGCTTTTTTACTATAGCATGAATGATACTGTTTGTGTGGCTCATAAATCCAAAACATCTAGTATCTGGTTTTCTAACCTCCTGTTCTAAACTTTTTTTCAGATTTTATAACTAGTAAGGTTGTAATAAGTAATAAAAAAGCAAGTTTAAGAATTATACATATATCTTACGTAAAGTTTAGAAAGAAGTGGACTGGGCTGGGCATGGTGGTGCATGCCTGTAATCCCAGCACTAAAGAGGCTGAGGTAGGAGGATCACTACCAGTTCAAGGCCACCCTGAACTACAAAGTGAGATCCTGTCTCCAACAAAAAAAAAAGAACTATGGACATAAGCATACCGGATTTTTTTTGTGGGGGGGCTGTGGGGGTTTCTCTATATCATTCAGGGTGGCCTTGAACTCACTGTGACCCTGGCTGGCCTCAAACTAAAGGTGATCCTCTTGCCTTGGCCTCCAGAGGGCTAGGGTTACACACATGGGCCATCACACTTGGTAGCCATCCTTATTAAAAGGGTATGTGAACTGTTCAAAGATTAAACATAGCAAAATGCTAATATCTGTTAAATCAAGTGGTTTTCAATGTGTCTGAAGTATTAAAGTATATTTTCTAATTTAAATTTTTTTTCTCAGGCCGGGCGTGGTGGCGCATGCCTGTAATCCCAGCACTTGGGAGGCTGAGGCAGGAGGATCTTTACGAGTTCAAGACCAGCCTGGGCTACAAAGTGAGCTCAAGGCCAGCCTGAACTGCATAGCGAGACCCTGTCTAAAAAAGACAAAAAAAAAATTTATCAAATATATACCCACTGTATAAGGACAGAAAAATAAAAAGAGCACAAATAATGCACACTTGTACACAATTGCTTTTGATACATCAAGAGGTCTCCTTTCTGTTTGTGAGAGGTAATTATTTATGTGCGTATAGTATTTAACTTCATTTTAAAAATGGCAGGTGTGGTGGCATACACCTGTAATCTCAGCACTTGGGAGGCTGATGCAGGAGGATTGCCATAAGTCGAGGCCAGGTTTGGCTATATAGTGAGTTCAAGACCAGCTTGAACTACATTGTGAGACCCTGTCTCAAAAAAAAAAAAGCAATAATTAGGCTGGGCATTATGGCCCACACCTGTAATCCCAGCACTCAGGAGGCTGAGACAAGGAGGATCACTGCAAGTTTGAGGCCAGCCTGAACTGCATAACCTGAACTGCATAACGAAATTTTGTCTCAAACACACACACGCACGCACACAGAAACACACACACGCACGCCATAATGACCAAAAAAAGTGTGTTCTAATAAACATCTAAGGTAGCTTTTAGTAGCTGCTTACTGCATGATATACATTGGTAAGCATTTTACTTACCTGACTTAATCCTTATAGTTTAAGGTGGTAGTTGCTATAATTCTTACTTTATAATTGATATTCAAAGATGTTTAAGCAACTTGACCAAGATTATACAGATGGTAAGTGCCAAAGCCAGATTGAAACCTAGATATTTTTTGTGCCAGAGCCAAATTTTATATCAGTTACTTACTTGCCACCTCTTCTAGAATAACAAATGAACATGCCACTTTGTGTTACCATGTTCTGTATCACTCTCTACTACGAAAGCTGGGCTGAAAGCAGCTGTTCTCACCCAGAGGTGATTTCACCTGAGCAGGGCAAAATGTGTGGAGACATTTTTGATCGTCAGATCTAAAGTGATTCTGTGTCTGGTGGATAGAGGCCAAGGATACTGTTGAACATTTAGTACAGTGCACAGGACAGTATTCCCCACCCTGTCCATACAAAATGTCAGTGATTCCAAGATTAAGGAAACTTGATTGAAAGTAAAAGTTCTAAATTTTGAAGCACGGAGCAAAGAACTGTTCCATCTTCTCTCTCCACAAGCTTTGAAGGTCCCAAGTTGTTCTTAGAATACTCAAAGTAATCCCTGCATTGTACTTACATATGGTACCTCACAAAGATACAGAAAACCAGAGTAAGACAAGCACTCCCTACAGCATATCTTTACATTTTATTCTTGCAATTGTTGAGCTTTTGCAAAGCCTTAATTTGGAGATTAGCTAGATGATCAGGAATAATCTGGGAATTTAAAGTATGACATCATCAGATTTTACAGCTTTTATGTTTCAGAAAAGGAACTATTTGCCATCCTCAGGGAACTTACCTTGAGATAGTTCAGCATTAGCTATTAGTTATTATGCATGTGTATGTACTCTTAGAATTTTAAGTCTTAACCAGGGCAGATGAAAATGGACTAGCATCTGAGACACACCGTAGAAAGAAAACTAATACCAGCGGATGGATATTCAAGTGCATAGTATTCCAGAAAAAGAAAAAAACTTAAGACAGTTTTTAAGTAGACTATATAAAATAATAGGAATTTGCATAGTAACTTGAAGCAACGGAAACAAATCTGGGGTTAAGGGGAAGGTGGCGAGAAACACTGAGGAAGTAAACACATGTTGAGTATTACGTGTTTCTGAGAGAGAGGGAGAAAGGATAGATGAGAAAATGCCAGTCCATCCTGATAAAAAGCAGATACATATTTTCTCAAAGAAGGTCAGTCTGATTATACAAACTTTCAAGGATGAAAGAGTCAAATGTCTACTTAGTAATATTTAATGTAAGTTAAACTTTGTACATTTATTTCAAATCATGTATTTTATTTGAAAAGTGGTGCTTTTCTACTCATATTTTACAAAGCAGATTGATTTCTGCAAGGTTGTCTTCATCACTAAAACCACATTTTGAGAAAATAAAGTAATTCTTTAGATACTGGATTGGGAAGAAAACGCCAAAAAGAAGGTTAAGCCAGTGAAGTTTGACTTGATGTGAGACTGAAATATTCATATGTTGTATATATGTATGTGTGTATGCATGTACACACATACTTGTTTCCTGTTAACAAAATAGAAGTGTGAGTAGTTAGTTCAAATTTCTGAGCTGGGCATGGTGGTAACAACTTCTAATCCCAGCACTCTAGGAGATTCAGGTAGGAGAATCACAAATTCAAGCCCAGTCTAGGTAATTTAGATACGAGAGACCCTATTCCAAAATAAAAAACAAAGAGGAAAAAAAATTCAAATTTCTGTAAGAATTGCTAGAAACGGTGGCACACATCTGTGGTATAAGCTACAGTATCCAAGAGGCTGAGGCAGGAGGATCACTTGAGTGCAGGACTCCAGGAACTCTCAGATAGCCTAAATGACGTAGTGAGACACCCTGTCGCTTTAAAAAAAAAAAGCTGTAAAAAGCTGGTAAGGAAATAGAAAATAAGATTTACTGAGAATTGACTCCTTCACGACACTAATTTGATAGTAACTGTCATGAACAACTTACCTTTACATCTCTTAAAGATGTTGTCTTTACATTTCTCTTAAGAAAAGAGACTTGTAAGGCACAGTGGTGGATGTCTGTAACCCCAGCTACAGGTGAAGCATGAGATGAGGCAGGAGGATTACAAGTTGGAGCCCAGCTTGTAAAACCTAGCGAGGCTCTGCCTCAAAATTTGAAAGAATTTTTGAAAAGAAGTGGGAGTATAGTTCAAAGTGAAGGCCCTGGATTCCAGCCACACTATTGCAGCAAAAGTAAAGACTGTAGGAAAAGAAACATTGTTAAACACCTACATGTGCTTCTCAGCTTAACAGTGGGGTTACATCCTGATAAACCCATCAGACTTTGAAAATACGGTAAGTCCGAAGTACATTTGCTGCACCTGACTGGCCAGCATCATAGATTATTAGCAACACAGTACACCGTATGGTATCAGTTACTTTCCCTGCAGTTGTGGCTTACTGGTGCTGGCCAACATCACAAGAGAGTACGACAAATTGCTAGCCCAAGAAAGATCAAAATTCAAAGTATGTTTTCTGAATGCATTTTGCTTTCATGCTAATGTGAAGTCATAAAATTGTAAGTCAAACCATCATTATAATATGAAGGAAATGCTGTATTTCAGTTTACTTACAACTTGCAGTGAGTGTGTATTTGAAAAATGGAAGTCTATTCCAAAAGAGACTGCTTTTTATGATGATCATGCAGTAAAGCCAAGACTCAAGTAACAGTTACTCTTTACTCATGGTAAAGTTTGGGTTGAACTACTGGAGGTACTTTAACTCTTAAGACATTCTATTTTCAGGAAGAAGAGGTTTCTCCACAGTTGTTTACTTTCCATGAAGCTGTGTCACAAATGGTAGAAATGGAAGAGCAAGTTGTAGAAGATCACAGGGCAGTATTTCAGGTAAAGTAAAAAAGACCTTTCCTCAGGATATTTCTTGCACTATATTAACCAAAAAATTGTAATTCCTTGAATGTAGCACTATTTTCTTTTTAAAAAATTATTTTACATACGAGCAAGTGTATTTTAGCACATATGACATGGCAACTATTTTTCACCATAGTATTTTTTTATAAAATGATAACTCCAGGGGCTGGGGATTTAGCTCAGCGGCAAAAGCGCCTGCCTGGCAAGTGCAAGGTCGTGAGTTCGGTTCGTGGTACCGGAGAAAAACCAAAAAAAAAAAAAAATGATAACTCCAAACATTTCCTTGCAGTATGGTAAAAGATACAGTGTATTTACCATCTTTGTGTCCCTTTGCTTGATTTGACAGTAGTTTATTTTTGGAATGAGTTGAACTTCTGCCCACCACTACTACTTTCTTTGTGAGGTCAGTTTATTTTGCAGCAGTAAGAAAAAACTCTTTAAAGGGTTACACAGCAGTTGAGGAAGTTTCAGTTTTTGCAGAAGAGAAAGAGTACCGTAGGAGATGGAAAAATACTTCTTGGACTGATCTGTCAGCAGCAGGTTGAGTGAAGGGTGTTATGTCCCTTCCTGTAGCAGTAACTCCTTCGATGTTCATCTCTTAACAAAGTATTTTTACAAGCTGGGTGCAGTGACGCACAACTGTAATCCCAGCTATTTGGGAGGCTGAAGTGGGAAGGTTTCAAGTTAGAGGCCAGCCAGGCACCTTAGGGAGAGACCCTGTCTAAAAAATATTTTGAGAAGGGCTGAGAATGTAGCTCAGGATAGAGCGTTACATGTATGAGAGTCTCTGGGATCATTCCTCAGTAAGGCAAAGAATAATAAAAAAATACTTTTACTGTTCAGTCCTTCTCCCTCCCATTTTGGTTTGGTTTGGTTCTATTTATTTTTTAAGTCTTGTATAGTACCCAGGTGGGCCTCTAGACTTAAGCAATCTTTCTGCCTCAGTCTTCTGAGTATCTGGGACCACAGGGCACTATGTCCAGTTGCCATATGTTTTTAACAGAACATTCTGGATGTCGGTATTCATGAGGAAGTAAAGCTATCATTTTACATCTTTGTAAAGACTGTACTGTTGACTTGACCTTACTACGCCCACCCCCATTTCTCTTACTGTTGCGAGGGGAAAACTGAGCAATAACTCTGTCTTCCTTCTGATGTTGAAGAAGTCTTTATAAACAAGTGAAGCACCTCAGCTGTAGTCATTCAAGCACCTGGATAAAGGATTCCAATGTGAAAGAAAACAGTTATTTCAAATTAGAATGTATAGTCATTAAAACTGCTTAGGGCTTTAGTCAGGCTCTTATCATGAGATTCTTTAGAGGCTTACTTGTTTAGATTCACTTGAGAACAGACACTTGTTGTTTGTACCCTTTTAGAACAAGGTATTGTATGAAGACCATAATTTCTCCACCACGTTTACAGATAAAAATCTTAACGTTTGTTTATTGGCATAACTGGATATTCTGATTTACAATCAAGTGACTGGTTTTTCGACTGTTGCATATATTATTCCTCTTTATTGTGATCTGCATTTCTCAAAATAAAGTTTTGTTATATAATTTAAGTGTATAGCTGAAGAAAAAACTATTGGGGTATGCTTATGTTTTCTGATTGATACATAAAAATTTTCTAATAGACACCTATCTAGGTTTACCAGTTCTGCCTGGTGATAAAGTTTAGTTGTAACTAGCAATTAAAGTGAACTGATGTTTGGAAAATTGAGGTTATATGCACCCCCAAAATCTTAAATTCAGAACCATGTTGTCTTGTTGATAAACTGTATAATTTGACATTGCCAGAAAATGAAATTGATAGGTACTGCATACCTAAAATCAGTCAAGACTGAAGGAATACCTTGACACACTTTAAAAGTGAACAGCTACTATTTATTAGCTCAGTTTCCTTTTCTAAAGTTGGCTGTTGCCTTAGCTTTCCGGTGCTGCAACGGAACACCTTACACATGTAGTTTAGAGGAGGAAAAGTTCGTTTGGCTCACAGTCTCCAGGTTTCAGTTCACAGATGGCCAGCTGCATTGCTTTATGCCTGTGATGAGGCAGAAATGTGACAAAAGGGTGAGGCAAAGGGAAGCTGCTCACCTCGCAGCACTCAGGAACCAGAGTGAGGTGGAAAGCGCCAGAGAGGAAAGGGCCAAGGACCAGCTACAGTCCCGAGGTCACACCTCCACCGTCGTTCCCTTCAAGTAGGCTCACCTCCTTTTTTGTTTCACCCATAATCCCATCAAATTATGATCCCATCAGTGGATTTATCTGGAAGGTAATGCTCTCTTGATCGAGTCACTTCTCTAGGCTGTGCCCTTGACCTTCACTGCATTGGGGATTTAGTGCTCAATGCATGAGTCTTTGGGAGATACATATGTAAACCATAACAGCTATCCATTGGTCCCTTACAGTCACAATAATTTTGAAGAATGTTTAGTATTTAGGCCTTGCTTGGTGACTGTGACTCCCTGTTTCAGTCCACTTTCCATTGCTAACCACACAATACCACAGACTGGGTGAGCTGTAAAGAAGGAGGTTTATTTTGGCTCACAGTGCTGATCCAAGGTATGAAGGGCCCCATCTGTGATCACTTTCCTGCTGGCAGAGTCCCAAAGCAGCATAGGACAGTGCAAGAGGAAGGATAGAATAAATGTTTTCACGTGTATATATTCTGCGCTTTCTCTTCATAGAAAGCCACCAGAATTCAACTGCAAGGACTTCTACTGATGACATTAATTCTAATTACTTCCCAAAGGCCCCACCCCTAAGCCCTATAGCTGTATTGCATTTTCCCCCTCACAGTGGGGAGTAAACAGCAACATAAGTTTCCCAGAGGACAGGCCATATTCATACCAGGGTAGACCCCAACTAAATGTTAGTTCCAAATGTCCTGTAAGTTCTAGGATATCACAGCACCGATCACATTGCTCAGTGGCTTTATTGTGTTCAGTCTTCCCTGTTTTACGGGCAGCTGTTGAGGTTTTGAGACTTAGTCTCCTCATTCATGTTTATCTGCTTGATTTATTCCTTCCCCAAGATCCTCACCCAAAGCCCCTTAAAGGTTGAGTAAAGTTATCATTTTTAGCCCATGTTACTCATGTATGTTTTGTGTTTAAGGAAATAAATTTTACTGTCTGAATGAAAATGTTTTATGTCTATTAATATTTTAGAGAGTATCATCTCAAGTATGTTTGAATATATTTAACAGAATTTATAAATTGGTATCTTTGTAAAGAGGCTTATTGAATTGTTGAATGTTTGGGTTTTTTTAGGAATCAATCAGATGGTTAGAAGATGAAAAGGCTCTCCTAGAGATGACTGAAGAAGTAGACTATGATGTAGATTCATATGCTACACAACTTGAAGCTATTCTTGAGCAAAAAATAGACATTTTAACTGAACTGCGGGGTAATTCTTTTTTAATATTAGTGTTGGGTATGAAATCTGCTTGGTATTGGGATGTGTACAGTGAGAGGATTCCATATTGCAAGAGGATATTTGCAGTGAAATTATAGTCACTGTTTAGCATCATCTTTCCAGAGGTATGAAGGCAGGCCATTTTGTTTTGGTTTTGTTTAACATAAGAGTATAACATGAGTACCACTTGAAGTTCTCTCTCGGCTTTTTTTTTCAGTCTTTTGAGAAGATAAAGATACCTTAAAGTGGGGGGAACACAAAACAAAAATCCAAAAAAAAGAAGGAAAAATACACTTAAACAAACTTGCAGGTTTTATGTACATACCCCATTCAGAACCTTGCTTTCATACGCCAGTGCTTGTCTTTTAGATGAGGTCTCTTTAGGGTTGTCTTGTTTTTGGTGCCATTTTGTGTCTTAACTTTTTTCCAAATTTTTTTTTTTCTTTATAAATGAAGGGAAGGTATCAGGATGGCTGTTCTTCATCTTACTCATGAAGGGAAGCATGTGGCTTACTTTGCATCTTTTTGCCTTTTTAATTGGCTTATCTGTGTAGCTTCAAGTATGTACTGGCATGTACATGTGGCTTCCCCTGATGTGAATGTCTGTTGTGTGTACATGCAATTCATCATAAGACCAGATTGAAATTTAGTTTTTAGTAGTAAGTTAGCCCTCTACAAAGTTGGCTATTTGAAGTCATGTCCTCTAAGTGATTAGTATTTCCCTAAAGTCTATATAACATTGAAGAAATTAGTCTACATATGCATTATTCAGTCTTTTTAGTTTTTTTTAGCCATCCAGAGATAATTTTAGATTAATATAAGAGGTTTAAGAGCTATTACCAATCACCAGATCCAGAAGTCCTTACATATTTTCTAAGTTTTAGAAAAGTTTACCTTTTAAAACATCATTTACTTCTGAAAAGAAAAATCAGAAAAAACTGACTTTTTAAAATTGCTATCTTCTTTTTCTTCTGGAGGTTATGGAGTGTTCCTTTTTCATTTTTGTGGGAGGTGTGTATATGTGTGCATGTGTGTGTTGGGGACCTGCATCACACATTCTAGACGAGTCTTTTATGACTGAACTGCACTCCCAGTTTAGAGTAGGATTTGTGTAACATTGGCATTATGAACATTTTGGTCCAGACGTTCTTTGTTGAGAGGTACTACACCCTATGCATTGTGAAGTATTTACCATCACCCTTGGCCTCTGTGCACTAGAGGACAGTAGTACATCAACTGTGACAACTAAAACCATCTCCAGACAGTACTAAATTTTCCTCTGAGGACAGAACTTACCCATTTGAAAGCCACTGCTACAGAAAGATGTCATTTACTGACAATTTACTGACCTGTCTTTAACTCTCCTCTGACTCTGATTCAGCACTTCATAGATAGTAGGACAGCATGTCTTCAGAGCAAGGAGGTATTCTCCTATCATCCCCTTTCATAGTCCCTGATGAGAATAATCTGCCATTTCTTTTCTAAAAATAAACTTTCTTAGCTTAAAAAAGGTAAGATGGGGATGAGTAGAAAGAAATACCTATTTTAGTTAAGAAACATAATTTTCCTTTTAGACATTACTATATATATTTTATAGTCTGTCTCCACTTCCAAAAGAATTCAAATAAGCTGAAACTGAATGCTGTAAAATGTCTCCAACAAAAGGAAAGTTGATTGAAAGACAGGTATTTGTTGGTGTGGTGGAATTTGTAATCCCAGCTATTCTAGAAGCTGAGGGAGGAGGACTGCACAATCCACACTACCCTGACCAACTTAGTGAGAACCTGTCAAAATAAAAAATTTAAATTGCACCTGGGGAGGCAGCTTAGCAATGGAGTGCTTGCCTGGCATATGCAGGGCCTTCAACACTACAGAGAAAGGCAAAGGGAGAGAACCAGAGAGGAGGCAGGAGGGGATCTGTAATGAGCCTGTTGCTATATTTGAGCACTATATTTATTTCTTAGGCTTTAGACCAGTGGTGGTGAACTTACAGCACATGTGCTACAGTGGGCTGTTTGTATCATTGAAAGCTCTAAGAGGTTCACCATCATTGCTCTAGACAATGTAGAATGAAAGGGAAAATACAAAATTACTGTGAAATAGAGCCAACTTAATAGGACCCAAACATTGTATGTTTTATAGCATATAATACAGTATTCATACCCTTGTTCTTTTCTTTTTCCAAGATAAAGTGAAATCTTTTCGTGCAGCTCTACAAGAAGAAGAACAAGCCAGCAAGCAAATTAATCCGAAGAGACCCCGTGCCCTGTAAAGCGGTATTTGCTGCTAAAGGATCCCCAGAACCCTCACTGCTGTAACAGTGTTTCAGCTGGAAGGGCCATTTCAAAGTTTGAAATTCTAAGTGTCTGTGGAAAATGTCTTGTCCTTCACCTGAATGACATTTCAATTTTGTGAAACACTCCTTTGTCTACAAAATGCTTCTAGTCCAGGAGGGACAACCAAGATTTGGGATTAGTGAAGCATTTTGTCTCACTATTCTCCAAATGGTGGTTTACTTTTGGAGATCCTTGCCAGTTTTATTTTCTATATGATGCAGTCAGATTGTGGACTTGATCCAGAGGTGGATAGTAAGGAGAAGCCACAGCATTTCCTTTTAACTCTGTTCAATTTCGTAGCAAGACTGAGCAGTTTTAAATCCTTTGAGTGCATGCATACCTCATCAGTGATTGTACATACCTTGCCTACTTCTAAAGACAGCTGTGCTCACCTCTTCCTGCTCTGTGCCTTGACTAAGGCTATTGACCCTAAATTTCTGAAGCACAGCCAAGATAAATTACATTCCTTATTTGTCATTGTAAATTACCTTTATTGTGTGTACATTTTTACTGTATTTGAGACATTTTTTGTGTGTGACTAGTTAATTTTGCAGGATGTGCCATATCATTGAACGGAACTAAGTCTGTGACAGTGGACATAGCTGCTGGACCATTCCATCTTATATGTAAAGAAACCTGGAATTATGATTTTAAAACCATATAACATGTGATTATAATTTTCTTAGCATTTTCTTTGTAAAAAACTAAAATATAAACTAGTTGGTGTATAATAAAAAGTAATGAAATTCTGAGAAGAGTTTTATCTTAGGATAATGCATATATATGCAGTGTGTGTGCCAGTGTGGTATTAACAAGACTAATAGTGCAATTTGATCCTTACAGATACCATTACTTAAGTTGACGTATTCACTAGCACCCCAAAATACACCTTTTTGATGTACTGTTAAAGGAAATTGGCTTCTGATGCATGAACATTTACATGTACATTGAAAGTAGTCCAGAATAGAAGTTAGTTTAAGCCAAGTGTAGACAGTATGTAATTCCCTTGAGAAACAATTAAGCTGAGAGTTTACCTTGCCTTAATAGGCAGATCAAACCCAAGCTCCATCCAGTACCTAATATGTGATGTGTCGGCATGATTTGGTGAGAATCACTGAATTTTCACCAGTAGATCGGTGGGAAGGTATGCTATTCCTTAAATGGCAGCACTTATTTTTTACAGTTTGATACTCCAAGGAAGAAAAACTGGCCATTTTGCATGTAAATACTTTTAAGAGATTTATATCTCTCTCTAAGAGTTTTCCCAGTTCCCAGGATAGAGTCCTAGAATAGAGTAACAAAAGATCTACCAAGGATATCTTGTTTTGATTTACTCTAGGGAACTACTAGCTCATTCATGAGCCAAAGGGAAGCAATGAATAGAGAGTCACATGAGCCAGATTCTTATTCACTGTTCATAAAACTTAGAGGGTAGCTGTGGGAAATCTTATTACCATGGTGAAAAGCTCTGTAAACATAAAATCTAAAACATGTAGATTTTTCACAGTATGCTTATTAATAAATGAAATCTATGGAATGAATTTAGAGATAATTTCCTTCAGTACAATCGCCTTTGTTTTGGAAGGGACTCAGGTTTTCTTGCAGTTGTAAGATATATTCTATTTGTGTTTATTTCAAAGACAAGAGGAGGAATAGAGAACTATTACTATTGACCTTGCAGAGGCTGTTTAAAAACATAGTTTTCCAGACCACCAATCTTTGAAGGGCAATAAAATGTGAACTTGCTTATTTTAAGCACAACAGATTAGCTTTATTATTCCTTACACTGGATAGGTACTATCTCTGGAAGGTCTTTTTATAGCAAATATGCTGCCTTACACTATGACAGCTTCATCCTGATCAGTAGTCAAAGTATTTCCGAAATTAATACCAGAAAAGATCTTGGGAGGTAGTTTAATACAGTCTTTCAGCTTTGCAGAGGGAGAAAACTAAAGATCAAAAGAAGGACTAAAACTCCATGCGGTAAAACCGCATGGGGTAAAAGAAAACAACCTAAGAAAGCTGAGTTGAATCTTACTTTTTTCTATAATGGTAAGAGTTGATACAAGTGAAATTTGCAAAGTAAGTAGTTCTGCAATTTTTTAAAAATCAGCTGTCAAGTAGATTTAATATTCAGGTAACAAAAGGGTTTATTTCAGCAAAATAATCTCAGCTTTTTATTCTATCTCAGACTTGAAAGCTCTTATCCCTAATTAGTAAGTAATGAAAATTATAACTGTTAATAATGTATACATTCATTATATGACTTTGAAGCCAAATTCTAAAAATAATCTGTTTAAGCAAACACTTATCTTCCCCATTCTAGGTTTTCTCAGTGCATTATTGCTTTGCTAATTGGAACCATTCCTTCTATTAAATTTTAGGTGTAAAGAAATCCAAATATCGAAGTATTTTTATTAATTTTCTTATGTAAATGAAATAGCTACTGTAACTCTTCATTAAAATGTATTAACAGCATTCAGTATTATATTGATTTAAACATAGTAGCTAACAAAACTTATATGACATCTATTGAAATTTTCAATCTCAGTTTTTAAATAGCTTGAAAGCATCAGGTATATGAAAAAGTACTGAAGTTAATGACCCCAAGAACTTGTACTTGTGGGGACATCTTTTTTTTTTAATTGAAAGGAAAGAGGTTCATGTGCAAAACCCTTTGAAATTTTGCTAAATCTATGATTATCTTACCAAGAAAGATGATATAATTTTACAGTTGATTTCATTCTAGTAGACCTTCATTTTATAAGGACTCACATCCAAACATGGCTGGCCTTGCATTATGGCAGCTGACCTGGGCTTATCCATCTGTAGTCTGTCCTACAATAAGACAGCTGAAGAGGCAGGCAATAATAGACAAGACTGTGTAGAATAAACAGGGAAAAGAAGAAGAGAAGTAGGGGCTGGGGATTTAGCTCAGCGGCAAAAAGCACCTGCCTGGCAAGCACGAGGTCGTGAGTTCGGTTCCCGGTACCGGAGAAAAACCAAAAAAAAAAAAAAAAAAGAAGAAGAGAAGCAAAATAAAATTTTAAGAAACATCTGTTTTATTGTACACGTGAGTAAGAAATGGTACGGTAAACAAGTGACTAGTTGAACATATTTTAACTTTACTTAAGGGACAAAGGTGAAGACCTAAATAGCCCATGAACTATGACAGTTAAGAGAGCAGTAAGCATCTTTATACAATGAGCTGTTAGAAATGGTAAGTTAGAGTGCAAGATTGTGCGTATCCGCGGCTACTAAGCTTTTGTATAGATTCGACCTTGTCCTGTTCAAAACAAGCCAACACTAAAAACAAGCTGGGTATCCAGAACTGATCACCTTTAAAAATACAGAGTAATACACAGTACAAGAATAGTATTAAATCAGAAATAGTCAAGTAAATAATGTCTCAGTGGAGTAAAAGCATAGTTCATCTTTTTAGTTAGAAATATATAATATTTTTTCTTGATTTTGAAAATTCTGTTTCCCAAATAGTATAACTAGGCAAAATGGATGCCTTCTGCATTAAATCCATGTAGCAATCTGGAAAACAAGCAAAAACAAAATGAAATGGCACTGAAAAAAAAAAAATGTGGATATTGTGAAGAAATTGTATATGGATGGGTTTGTTCCATTAATTTTTACACACAAACATATTAGCATACTTATGCACCCACCTACTCCTAATAGTCATTAAAGAAATCTTATTTTGAATCTAAATGTGTAAGATATATCTTGATTGAAGCCATGTCACCCTGGTATCTTTTTGTTGAACCCTACGAGTCTTCATATTGAATTTGATTGAAATTCAGACTTTTGCTATCCCAGGCCTAATGCTCACTGGCACTTGTTCCATTTCAGCATAACTGAAGAAGCATAACTGAATATCTGGAATTTGAGGCAGAAGTCAGATAAACGACCACTCATCAGGTGCTCATTCGTCTCTTGGGTTCTTACTGAGGTTCGAGTTATCTATTCACACATTGTTTCTCTGTGGATACCTACATACTTACCAGACTTTAGTTAGTAAACTACACCTTCAAGAAATTTAGTAAAAATGAAAGAACATAAAATTTAAAAGAAAAAAATTTGCTTAGACTTGAGATTATCTTCAGGCTGGCTCAAAGGATCAAGTCCAATGAATTAAAATATCTAAAAAAGGCAAAGTGTAAGTGCTTATAAATAGTGTTCACAGACTAGGATAACACCTAATAGACTCAGTAGTTCCGCTGCAGCCAGTGAATGAAATACAAGCTCCATTTGTCTTAGTTCTACAGAACTGTTTCCAGCTTGGAAAAAGTCAAGCTACCCTCACTTCTTATTCAGCCTTTAGAACATGGATGCTTGAAAAGTAAACAGCCAAGAACTTTTGAAAGATAGTGTTCTTAATGAGTAAAAGCAACAAGTACAAGTTTATTTAGTTCAGTAATTAACTGAAGCCTTACTCTTATAAGACTTACTTGCTGAGTTCAAGGAAAAAAACTTTTGGCTTATATTTTCCAGATAATTATGACACCCTTTTACTTTGTATGTGTGCAATCTGCCTTGGGCTAAAAAATCTTACTACTAAGGGGATAAGCAGGTATGATTATAATTTGACAGTTACGCTGAATATCTTTTTAACAATAGTTAGTCCCAATAAGGAAATGAATCAGATCATTACACACATTATGACTTTCCTTCTTTATGGGTTACTTTGAAGAGATGAACTTCTAAGAATAAGACCGTGAATTAGTAGGGGCTGGGGAAGAAGGGCAAGAACGTGCACACAACATACATGAACACGGGGCAATCTTCTGGCTTGGACTGTTCTTTACTACTGTTCTTGAAGAAAATGTTCATTCTGCTGCAGCTAACTAGCCTCCATCTTCTGCACCAAATACTATTCCATGCCATGGAAGTGCTATGCAATAATTCTCCCAGGTAGCACCTTATACCACTTAAAAGCCTTTAAATCTCTAATCTGATGATATCTTGGTAAAGAAATGTAAACACTAAGAAAAAAAAAAACTGTAATTACCTGATAAAGTCATCTATGTCCATGGAACGGGCCCGTTTGTCACTAAAACCTGTGCTGGTTAGGATCTGCTGTATTTTATCTGCTATGCTGAAATCTTCTGGTATTATCTATCAATACAAGATTCAGAATAAATGAACAACATATCTTTAATGAAATTACTTTGGCTCTTTTTTGTAGTCCAGTAAGTTTGAACAGCCACCTTGAACACATCTGTTAATGACAGCTTGAAAAACCTGATAATTTAGGTAAGGTCTGGATGTCTAATAAGCTAAGTGGTGGATTGACAATATTCAAGACCTTGAACAAAAAGTCATATATAGTGCCCTTCCCTCTGATTTGGCAGTATTGGGGACTGAACCCAGGGCCTTCTCACTGAGCTATATCTTCAGCTCTTTTATTTGTGAGACAGGTCTCACTAAGTTACCCAGGCTTGGCTCAAACTGGGGGTCCTCATGCTGCTTTGGCCTCCCAGTGCTGGCCTTGTAGGTGTACCCCAAGACCCCAGCTGCCTTTTTTACTCTTTAAAATTCTGAAATAGTTGCCAATTTCAGACTTCACAAATGAAATTATAACTATAAATTTTAAAGCAGTTGTTACTGTTAGAAGTAAATTTTCTTGCCACAAATTTCACCTAACCAATTTTTCTGAGATGATCTCTCTGATTTAAGAATATTCATACTTGATTCACATCTTCTACCCTAAGATTTTCCTTGATCCAATATAATAATTTTTTACTTAGGCCAATATTTTATGTGACTTTTGCCCATGTAAAATAGACATTACTGTGGTACATTAAACCATATAAAGCACAACGCCTCTGAGCCATAAAAAATACAAAGGAAATCTGTCTTTGTTTAATTACACTAAAAGCTAGAGACATCTCATTATAGATGAACATGTGTAGTGCAAGAGCACATACTTGTTTAAAGGACGTCATACAGATGATCAAAAGCATGAGGCTCACAACCAGAAATCTGCTGTTCAGTCTATAATTAATTTCTGGGTATTTAAAAAAATTAACAAAACAGTAACTTCAGATTTGTAACTGTAACAGACCAGGGATGATCATAATTCAGAAGATAGCAAACCGTATACAACTGTTTTAAACTGAACAAGCTACACATTTTGTAGCTTTGAGGAAATTATAACTGGGCTGAATCTGATTTTTTTTTTTTTTTGTCTTTTTGAGACAGGGTCTTGCTATTCAGTTCAGGCTGGCCTTGAGCTCACTTTGTAGCCCAGGCTGGTCTTGAACTTGCAACAATCCTCCTGCCTCAGCCTGCAGGCGTGTGCCACTACACCTGGCCTGAATCTGATTCTTCTTACATTTAAAACAAATGTCAGTAGTGAAAAGACAGTATGAAGGAGTCCAGGTTTTTCAGGTCCATTCCAGAGACTACATAGCAGCTTTATTCTCAGAATTCAGGTCAAAATTATGTTAGTCACACACTGTCTCCTAAGGAGCCAACAGAGCATGCAAAATAGTCTCAATGATAGATCAAAGAGTAAAGATAGATGGACATTTTAAAACAGATCACTGAGAACAAGTTTCTACTTACAATATTATGGATGGAACAGTGAATTCTGTAGTTTTTTTCCAGTAGCTGTTGTACTGCACTTGATCTATGGCATAAATGATACACTATTATTCCAAAATCAGCTATTATACATACTTCCTTCCAGTTTAGACAACACTAAATCTGTGTTCCATTAGGTGAAATTATGGAATTTTACAAGATTTTCAATATTTATGAACTCAAAGCAAACACTTAAAAAGTAGAGTCCTGACAAGCATCTCTTTAAAAATAAAAAAAATAAGACATACATTGTATTTGGTTTTTTGTTTTGAGAAGCAATCTTAGGCCAGGCATGGTAGCACATGCCAATAATCCCAGCACTCAGGATGAGGCAGCTGTGAATTTTAGGGCAGCCTGCGCTACATAGTTCAAGCCAGCCTGAAATACAACAGCAAGACCCTGTCTCAGCAAAACAAAAACAAGAGAGTCTTGGGCTGAGGATATAGCTCAGCAGCACAGTGCCTGTCTGCCAAGTGCAAGGTCCTGAGTTAGATTCCTGTTACCAAAAAAAAAAAAAAAAAGTCTCGCTGTGCTACCCAGGCTGGCCTCTATAATTCCTATGCTAAAGTGATACTCCTGCCTCAGCTTCCAAGTAGCTAGCTTGGAGTATTGGCACCATCCTAGCTCCTTAAATTCTCCTACCAGTGGTGGCAAACCTAAGGCATGTGTGCTGCAGCAGGTATGCAGAGCACTCTGTCAGCATGCAAGCCAAATAGCCCCAACAGCAAGGCATTGAATAACAACAGTTCTTCTCTAAACTAAAACCTCAGTATTCAGGTTCAGTTGCAGTTTTGGCACTTTGTGGTAAGTAAGTGGGTTTGGGGTTGCAATATGAGCACTCAGTCTCTAAAAAGTTCCCCATCACTGTGACCTAGACCCTCCACAAAACCCCTGAAAATCGTATCAGCTGGGTACAGTGGCATACACATATAATTGCAGCTACTCCAGAGGCTAACACTGAAGGATCCCACATTCAAAGCCAGCCTGTCAACTTTGCAAGACCCCTCTCTCAAAAAGAAAAAAGGGGGTTGAGGTGGTCCAGTGGTAGAGTGCACTGGTCCTTTATAAACAAGAAATCAGTAAAATACTTACTTAAATGCTGCAGACAATGTCTTGTTTTTCCTAACAAAAGTAATCCTTACTAGGCCATCCCATTCCTAAAATAGAAAATGATTATTTTCTTCTAAATATTTCTTGTCTGTGCCTGCTAAGTATTGTCTTCTAATATATAAAACTTTCAGAGTGATAAAAATCTGTATCTTGATCTGGCTGGTATACATGCAAAAGTAACATGTATTCTTGATTGCTACATTTTTGTGTGCCTCACTGAATACATTTTATCATGTTTTTTAACTGGAAAAAATGTACAATTATCCCATGTGTGAACACATACCCCATGCCATGACATGGCATTTAGTTAAGCCTAAGTATCACTTTCAAAAATGAGATTCAAAAAAGACATGGAAAGAAGATGGGGCAGGCAGAGTGTGCCTGTAATCCCAGCACTTGGGAGGCTGAGGCAGGCAGGAAGACTGAGTTTAAACCCAATTTGGGCTACATAGCAAGTTGAAGGCCAGCCTGGATTATACAGTAAGACCCTGCCTCAAAAAAACAAAACCAAAAAGAATAAACAGACACAAAGTCTCACACAGTGGTGCATACCTATAATCCTACCTACCTACTCTGGACTAGAGGCTGAGGCACGCTTGGGCAACTCAGCAAGACCAAGGCTCCAAGTGAAGAAAAAGGGCTATGGTTGTAGCTTTGTGGTTAAGATCCAGTGGGTTCAATCCTAGTGTCATCCCCTCCCACCCAACAGACACACCTAAACCTTCCAGGAGTTACTGTCAGATCACCCCACTTATCACCAGCTTATCACAATCATGTTTCTCTCTTAATGGGATTATTTATATCTAGTGGTCTGGACTGTTTTAAATCACCAAAACTTTTTTTTTTTTTTTTAGTGTTAATAGTATTAGCCAGGCATGGTGGCACACACCTGTAATCCCAGCAGTTTAGTGACTTAGTAAGATCCTGTCTCAAAAAGTGCTGGAGATGTGGCTCAGTGGGGAAAGGTAAAAAAAAAAAGGTAAAAGTATTTTAAAAAACTTCATTTTATCCTTCATTGCGTTTTCCAAGTTTTGTTCAAACAGACAAGTTTTCACAGCTATCATCCTAAGTGAAATGCAGCTGCATTCTAATTGCTTTGCCATTTACAACTTTTCCATGTGTTCTGTGGTCTTCAAAACTGTCTTACAAATCATTCCATCTGTTCTATCACAGAGGTGTGCCATAATTCACGTTCTATGTTTAGACATTTAGGTAGATTCAAAATTCTGCTGCTGCTATACATATACATCCTCTTCCAGCCTGGATGCTCTGGATGCTTTACTGAATGACCTAGTATTTAAGGCTTACCTGAAAATTGATGGGTGGTGGTGGATTCTTAGGTTCTATCCTTACAACACTGGATTCTACTTTAGGTGGTGGTCTGAAGTTATTCTTTCCCACCTGTTAATCAGAAAATGTTTAGTCCTCTCAAAGGCAACTTTTAGTAATCAAAGATACTTTCCTGACAGTAGGCAGAGGTAGATGCTCAAGGATGAACTAAGCTAGATTACTTTAACAATAAAAAATCACTTACTTTCATTAGGTGGTCCACACGAGCTAACAGCTGTGTATTAATTGACAGTCTGCAGTATAACTTATCCCCAGGCTTTGCAACTAATCTGAGAGCAAATTCTCTTTGAAACATAAGAACAGCACACCTGAAAGGAAACCAGAAGAGAATAAGGAAATGGTCATTTTCAACTAAAATGTATTTTAATTAAAAATTTTCTTGAGAGGGAAACAGCAAATTGGTATCTGTGGTTAATAACAATTAGTTCAGCTAATCAGATGGCACAACACTTTCTGCCTTATTAGCCTTATGACCAAAAAATGAGAGGCAGGAGCACTGCCGTGAGTTTGAGGCCAGCCTGAGCTACACAGTGAGTTCAATGCCAGCCAAAGCTGTATAGCGAGACCCTGTCTCAGGAAAAAAAAAAAAGAACAAAAAATGAGATCACTGGCTTTGCTTTAAAACAGCTGTACCCTAACGTCTAGGAAGACAGCTTGCCCTCAAGGATCACATGAACAAGTATTTCACATTTCACTGGGCCATCACCAGTTCCCTGAAAACAAAATCAACTCCACAGCAGAATTACACTGTGCTATGCAGCACTCTTAAGGAAGAGGTGAGGCTGGAGAAGAAAACTGTGGACTTGCAGGGTCTTTCCTGAACTTCATCTTCACTAAACCATGGGAAGGGTTTTGGAAGCTAACAAAAAGATCTTTCAACTTGCACTTTGACTTTTTCCTAAAATTTGGCAGTATTTGTGGTCTTTTGTCACAAACCTGAAGAAAGGTCGGTGCAGCAACAGCTTGAAGACAAAAGGAGATGATATCTGTAAAAGATTACTAGTTACTTTCATGACAGATACTCGGAAACTAGAGAAGCACTTGGAATGTTGCTGACCGTTCAAGGACATACCTGATAAGGCAAATTTGCCACACAAGCGTCAAAAAATGGCAAATCCGTTTTCAGCACATCACCTACCATCACCTGAAGTTTGCTGGCTAGGGGCCTGATGTCAAGAAAGGAAATTTTAAAAGAATATTGTTCCATAAACTTGAAATGCACTTTAATTCTATCATGTGTACTCACGTGCCCTGAACTCTTTTGTGAAGTTCGGCTACGAGTCTTGGGTCAAGTTCACAGGCAACTACCTAAATTAACAACAAAACTTCTTTTAGGTACTGGTGGCAGTTAGGTGGTACCCTAATCTCAGAGGCCTCAGCTTTAACTACAGTTCAAGCAACTCCAACTTGTTTGCTTTTTTTTTCCCTCCAGGACTTGAGGTGGTTTAACTGCTTAATAAATATTTTGGAGTTATCTCAGTGTTTCCATTTTGTTCTTTTGGTCCCCTTAACAAACACATAAGCAATTCCCTAGGTGAAATTCCTTGTTGATATACCAAATGTGGTTTCTGCTTTCCTAATATATCCCATGTTTTCTAAGATAAAATTTCTAGTAAAAGGTCAAAAATCACTATTAAAATAACAGCAACTGGGGATGGAGATTTAGCTCAGCGGCACAGTGCCTGCCTGACAAGCGCTAAGTCATGAGTCCAATGGTACCAATTCTCGGTACCGGAAAAAAAAAAAAAATAACAGCAATTAAAACAAGGTTACATTGGCAATACAGTTGAGCTTATGGTCATTTCTGATAGCAAAACCTTAAATCTCCTTTTTACCTTTTTGGCCTTTTCTAATAACTTTACAGTCATGTTACCAGTTCCAGGTCCAACTTCCAACACCACATCAGTTGGTCTTAAGGCAGCCTAAAAGCAAGCATAACTGTTTAGTTCTCCTGGCGCGCCTGGAAGTTTACACCTGAACATCTTGTTCATTTAGTGTTGAGATTTTACTCTTTAAAATTTTAGATTTCTTCATGAGATATGTGGTTTACAAAATTACCTCAATATTATGTGCTAATGAAAATCTAAGTTCGCTCCTAACCTGGGTAAATACTGGACTTTAGGAGTCAGAAAAGCAGGAACAGATCGTTGCATGACTGGGTTTTGCTTTCTACCTTGCAAATGATTTCAGCAACCTTGTTACCAACTCTTCATATCAACCACGTTCAAACGAGAAAGCACTGTATATGGTGGACTTGCCTGAATCATACCATGTTGCACTAAGCCTTCCCAGTTTTTAATCCATGTATGATTTCAAGTACCTAGGAATACAAAAGAGCTGCAATATTCTGTGAGATCCAATTACTGTGTACAAGATCCTTTCAATCTTTCTGCAGCTCCATGACGCTTCCCTTGTAACCATAAAATTTGCCCCATCTCTATTTCATTTCCTACCACTCAATTATCCGTAAAAATAAGAGAATCATCAATCTCTACAGGGAGAATATTCCAACTAATTCATGTGGCACTAAAATACAGAGAATATATGTAGTACCACGTTTTTCTGGGAGACAGCCTTTCTGATACGTAGTTTTGACTGCAATAAATAAAAACTAATAGTGATATGATGCTTAGCAAGTCATCAGAATATAATCCGGAATTGAACAAGTACAAAAGGCTAGTGATAGACAATCCACAGACGCAGAATTTGGGGCCAGAAGAAATACAGACCTACAGAATGAAACATCCTAGATAACTCTTTAATTCAACAAATATTTACAGAACATCTATTTTATGCCGGGCACCCTGCCTGCACTTAAGCATTCCTAAAAGTAAAATTAACCCAACAACTTTCCTCTTCACACCCACCTTATCAATAATACTGTTAACAACGAGAGGATTTTTCAAAATGTGCTGCCCAATCCCCGTGTTGAAAGTGAGTCCTGGAAGCAGACATGAAACAGCCTTAATTTCCCAAACAAGATGAGCAGTCAGGCCGTCCACAGACACAAGCAGGATGGGTCGGGAGAGGCGAGCGCCCGGGCGGCCACCTCCCAGTCCCTCCCTCCGGCTGCCGCGGAGCCCAGCGCACGCGGCGTGCAGGACCCCGAGCCCCTACTCCCGGGCTCCTGCCGCTCCGGTCTCGCTCCGCGCTGGGCCCGGCTTCCTCCTCCCGGCCGTCCGCACCTCCGGTGCTCTTGAGCGCCCGGTTCTGTTCCTGCCGCTGTCGGCGACGGAGGCTCGCCCCCGACTTGACCTTCGGCATCTCAGGAGGAAACCCGCCCAGGGTCAGCAAAGTCAGGAGTCGCCGGAGCTGGGCTGGCCAAAACGCCTGGTCCTGTGGGCTCCACGTTGTCCCGCACCGTGTGGGTGAGGGGCGGGCCCGCTTCCACGCCTCCCTCCGCTCGGGCTCCTCCCCCGGGGATGGGCGGAGTTTGGAGCCCAGTAGCCGCTGGGAATTGTAGTTGCGGCTGCAGGAACTAGCCGGCCGAGAAACCACCCTTCCCAAAAGACCCCGCGCCACCACGTCTGACCGTATTTGGATTGGCTGGTGTAGCATGGAGGCGGGGCGTCCCGCCGGTAGCTGCATACAGGAGTTTAAGGTGTGTGGCGCAGTCTGCCTACGGTTTAAGGTACGCATGGGACCCTTTGGTATGCTGTGTTTGGGAACGCAGACAATGTGAAGAGGGTTCTTCCCCATGTCTTTTCCCAATTTCCCTTCATATTGTGGGATGGGAAGCCCAGAATTTGGGAATAAAGTTCGTGCTCCTTTGGGAGAATTTGTTCTGCTGCCTACTTTGTGGAAGACTCAGTTGTAATTATCTCCAGTTCCACTAGGGCTGCTGGCTGCTCACTGTCCCTTGCACCTCCTCAGTCATTCCCTAAACATTTATTGAGCTCTAGCCCTGGAGCTGACCCAAATGCAAGGATGGTTTAACATACATAAATTAATAAATATGATATATCACATAAACAGATACAAGGACAAAAATCACATGATCATCTCAATAGATGTAGAGAAAGCCATCGGCAATATTTAACATGCTTTCATGAAGAAAATAGGTATAAAAAAACTTTATCCCAATCTGCTAAAAGTCATTTGTAACAAACTTGCTGACATCATATCATAAGTGGGGAAAAATTGGAAACTTTCCCTCTAAAGTGAAAAAACAACAATGCCCACTATTACCACTTCTGTTCAACAGAGTACTCAAAAACATTAGCAAGAGCATGTAGGCAGGAAAAAGAGATAAAAGGGATATGTAGGAGAAAGAAAAATGTCAAATTATTAGTACTGTATTTGCAGATGACCTGATCCTCTGCCTAGAAGACCCCCCAAATCCATAAAAGATTCCTAGAATTAATAACCAAATTCAGCAGTGTAGCAGAATACAAAATCAACACAAAAATCAATAGAGTTTCTAAACACCAATAATGAACCCACTGAGGAAAACAATCAGGAAAAAAACACCATTCAGAATAATATCAAGAAAAAATAAATTCTGTACTTTGAAATTAAACTAAGGAAGTGGGAGACCTCTACAATGAAAAATAATTCTCTGAAAAAGGAAATCCAAGAGAACATCAGAAAATGGAAATTAGCCCCTATTCCTAGATATGTAGAACCAATGTAGTGAAAATGGCCATACTTCCAAAACTGATATATAGATTTAATCAAATCACAATCACAATACCAACAGCATTCCTCAGGGAACTAGAACTTGCTGATGTTTCAAGTGTTCACATTCATATGGAGCCAGAGAGACCCAGAATAGCAAAACCATCAAGAAAAAATAAATTCTTTTACTTTGGATAATTTAATAAAGAAAGGAAGCTGCCGGTCAGGAGCCTCCTTTTGTGCTCACTAGTTGCACAGCAAAGGAAACCGCTAATGATCAGACAATTTACAGAATGGGGAAAGCATTTTTGATAGCCACTTAGAGGACTAATATCTAGAATATATAAAGAACTCAAAAAAATCAGAGCCCACCAAATTTAAAGACCCAATCCAAAAATGTGCATCTGAGCCAGCTGTGATGGCACATGCTTGTAATCCCAGCACTTGGGAGGCTGAGGCTGAAAGACTACTGTGAGCTTGACGCCAGCCTGGGCTACACAGTGAGTTCAAGGCCAGTCTGAACTACACAGTAAGACCCTTCTCAAGAAACCCCCCAAGGGCTGGGGAAATAGCTCAGTGGAACAGTGCCTACCTGGCAAGCATAAGGTGGTGAGTTAAATTCCTGGTACCAAAAAAAAAAAGAAAAAGAAAACCCCAAACCAAAAATGTGCATCTAAAACTAATAGACACTTCTCAGATGAAGAAATACAAACAACAAATAAATATATGAAAAAGTGTTAACATCCCTAGCCATTCATGAAAAAAATGTTCAACATCTTTAGTTAAAAACAACACTGAGATTCTATCTAACTCCAGAAAGAACAGCCACCACCAAGAAACTAACCAATAAGTAAGTGTGTAATTCCAGGACATGTAATTCCAGGCTGAGGCAGGAGGAGTGCCTTGAATTTAAGGCCAATCTGCGACACCTAGCAAGTTCAAGGACAGCCTGAACTCATTGGCAAGACCCTTTCTCAAGAAAAGAAGAAGGAAAAGAAGGAGGGGGGAAGAAGGGCAGAAGGAAGAAGAAGGAAAAGGGGAAGGGGAAGGAGGAAGAGGATGAGAAGAACAAGAGAAATCAACCAATAATAAATGCCGGTGAGACTGTGGGAAGGAAAGAACCCATGTCCCTTTTTGGTGATGCTGTTAACTGATACATTGTGGAAATCAGTATGGAGATTCCTCAAAAAACTAAAAATAGAAATTCCATTTGACCAGCTCTCCCCCTTTTAGGTATCTTCCTCAAAGGGTTAAACACATCATAGCACAGTAATGTAGGCACACCCATGTTTATAGCAGCACAGATCATAATAGCTAAATCTTGAAAACAATGTATATGTCCATCAACAGATGAATGAATAAAAAATATGGTATTTATACACAATGCAGTACTATTCTGCCATAAAAAGGGTGAACTTGAGTCACTGAGAGAAAATTGGATGCGCCTTGAGCCCATAATATTAAGTGAAGTAAATCAAGAAACAAGCTAAAATATCACATGCTTTCTCTATATGAAAATCTCAATGTATATGTAAATATATATTATATATATATCAAAATAGAAGACAGATAACAGGAAAAAAGAGAAAGAAAAAGTATTGTAATCTAGTGCAGACAATGTCTCTAAAAGTGTACCTCGATTTAGTACGATGGTCTTACATGTTTTATACAGTTTGGGGCTTATTAGTCTGGTTTTCAATCTGTATATGTGATACTTAACTTTATAAGGTCTTCTAAGATAAATAACAAATCTAACACTGGAAAAGTAAAAGGGGGGTAAGTGGGAGGGGAAAAGAGGAATTGATGTGTGTTGTGTATGTGTACCAATCCCCTACAGTGATGTAATCATTATGTACTGCAAACATGTACTAATGAAAGTGAAAAACTCAAAGTAGACATGGGGTGGGTGTTCCGTCTTGATAATCTTCATCCTAATCATCTCCCAAAGAGGCCCACCTCCCAATGCCAGAGCTGGATTACGTTTCTACCTGCTGCCTTACAGTGACAGTGTGAACTCTTCGACACACTCTACCATATCATTGACTCTAAGCATTATCAGAAAAGACTTAATGATAATCAATACCTCTCAGAAGCACTTGTTAGATAAGTGTTTTCACATCATTACCATTCTTAAGACAAAACTGAGGTACATTAAAATTTTAAAAGGTTTATTTGAACAGACATTGATTCATGAATTAGCTCTTGATGGCAGGTGGTTGGGGGCTCCTCTAAACGGATTCTAGAGGAAGGGCTCTTTTTTCTCCTTTCTTTTTCTTTCTTTCTTTCTTTCTTTCTCTTTTTCTTTCTTTCTTTCTTTCTTTCTTTCTTTCTTTCTTTCTTTCTTTCTTTCTTTCTTTCTTTCTTTCCTTCTTGTTCCTTTCTTTCTTTCTTTCTTTCTTTCTTTGAGACAGGTCTCATAATATAGTCCAGGCTGGCCTTGAACTCACTGTGTAGCCCAGTGTTGCCTCAATCTTGTGTTCTTCTGCTTCAACCTCCCTAGTGCTGATATTTCAGGCATGTGCCACCTATCCCAACCAGGGGAAGGTTTAACTGAATGAATGTGGAGTTATGGCAAAGAAAATCCTGTCAGCAGTTAGTTGGTAATTTCTAATTAAGTTTACTGTTTTTTTTTTTTAACACCAAATTGATTTTTGATTTCCTTATGTAGGAATCCAGGGTGCTTAAATGGCCTCTGAATTTATTATTTTAACCTCATAAAATAGTGCATATCATGTCTCTAACTGATGCTTTCCAAATATAACAAAAAAAAAAAAAAACATTATTAGCCAGGATCAATGACACGTTCCTATAATCCCAGAACTCAAGAGGCCAAGGCAGAAAAAGATTGTGAGTTTGAGGTTAACTTTGACTGCATAGTAAATTCAAGGCCAGCCTTGGCTACAGAGCAAGGCCTGTTCTCAAAAAACAACAGCAACCAAAAACAGAAACAAAAAGAACACAAAATGTTATAGTAGTTAGAATTCCATTTGTGAGTTATAATAGAGTTCATTTTGTATTGTATGTTTAAAATCTCTATTTTAGTTTTTATTGCACTTTATCATTTTCAGTGAAACTATGAAATTGTTAGGGCAAATATTATTACCATCTTTTGAATTTGAGGAAACTGAGATGGGGTGGAGCCCAGGTCCCTTGTTACAACCCAAAAGCACCCTGCCTCCTTGGCACTTTTTCTTTTGCCTCTAGAGAGATGTGGACACCACAGTCAGTTGCCCTCATCAATGGTCAATAGGTAGAGAAGCAAGAAGACACTGAATCATTTGAACTACAGTTTATACCAATTTCACATTTTCATGATGGTCTACCTTTCAGAGGATCCAAATTTGATTACCATGAATTTAAGGCTAAGCTATGTTTGGATAGGGCTGGGAATGTAGCTCAGTGGTAGAGCACTTGGCTAGCATTTTTAAAGCCATGGGCTTGATCCCAGCACAATCAGTCAATCCCCTTGTATGACAGTTACAAAGAAAACAAAATGACCAAATCAAAAACTTAACTTGTAAAAAACCCTGGAAAATACAGAAAGTATTCATGTGTTCCCTATAACCTCCTTGTGCTGGGAAAACTTCTATGAACATTTTGATACACACTATTTTCTTTTGTTGTTTTAACAACATATATTTTAACATAGTTGGAGTCATACTGGCTATACCAGTTACTGTTTTCATTCCATAAAATACAGTAACATTAAATGTACTTGGGTAGTATAGCTTAGTGGTAGAGTGCCTGGCATTCAAAAGCCCTGAATTAGATCCCTAATACCACACATATACACAAAAACCACTTTGCCAAGTTATTATATTCTTTTAATAATCAATGTTGAATACTGCTGCAGAAAATTTTATCTTGTGAATGCAGGAATTTACCAAATTCTTTCTTTCCTTTTTTAATTTTTTAATTTTTGATTAAAAGCCCTAGGTATTGAAGCTAGGGCTTTTACGTGCTAGGCACGCCCTGTAACACCCAACTATATCCCCAGCCCTTTATACGTTTTATTTGGAGGCAGGGACTCACTAAATTGCCCAGACTGGTCTTGAACTTGTATTCTCCCACCTTGGCCTCGCAGATAGGATTACAGGTATGTGCCCCTGCACCTGGCTACTAAATCATTTCCATACTATTATTTTAGTTAAAAATAAAGTTGTACACATTTAGTGCATACATGCAAAATATTTCTTATACTTTGAATTGTCTCCCTAGTATGGATTTTCAAGAGTGGAATTAGTCAAATTATATGAATATTTAATTTGGGTTATGTATTGTCAGATTATTTTTTCTCATAAGCACTGGCTGATATGGTTTTGAACCAAAATGAATCTATTATGAAGTATATTTTTAAGGACAGGTGAAATCATTTTTTCAAAGACTTAGTTTCCTAATCTGGTGATATAAACATCTTGTGAGCTAATTTATAAATGTCTACAAGGTATATTATAGAGTTGCCAAGACCAAATTTTACACAAGTTGTAGTAATAAAATCCAGTAAGGTAAATAACCTATGATTCTGGAGCATGTTTTAATTTTGTCTTGCTGGGTTTTAAAAAGGAATCTTGTTTTATTTTGTCTTAACAAACCTAGTGGCTTAGAAAAACAGATTTATTTTCTTAGGGTTCCGGAAATAAAGTCTAAAGTTTTGGAGAAAACCCATTTCTGTGACTTTCCCAGTTTGAGGGCCAATCTTGTAAACTGGCCTATGACCCCTTCTCCTTGGCTTATGATCCCTACACTGTTTTTCCACCTCTGTAGTCATATTTTCTTGTCTCTTGATAGTCCTGATAAAAACTCTCTCATAAAAACCCTAGTGATTATGTTGGACCCACAGGAAAATTTTCCCATATTAGGATCCTTCACTTAATGATGGCAGATTTGCAGGTTTGGGGGATGAGGAAATGGACATGCTTTATTTCACCTGTTACAAAACATGTACTGTATCGAACTTTGAGTTTGTGTTCTTTCACTGACAATCCTGACTGCAAAAATGACAATTCCAACAAGCATCATTTTCTAATCTGTAAAATGAGGACTACTCTCCCTATTTACAAGGGTGATGAGATAGATTACATAAACTGTCTTAAGTTCAATGCCTAGAACTTTAAAAGAAGCCCTTAGAACTGTAGCTATTCCAGGTGTGGTGGTGCAGACCTGTAATCATAGCTACCTAAAAGGCAGAGGCAGGAGGATTGAAAGTTCCAGGGCAATTTAGACAGTTTCTCAATGTAAAACATAAAAAAGACCGAGGGTGTAGTTTGGCGCTCTATGGGTTCAATCCCCATTTCCTCAACAATGACAATGACGAGGACAACAACAGCAACAACACAGTAGTCTGCACATAGCAGGTATTTATTAGAAGTTAGCTATAATAATGAATTGAGGCACAATGAGTTGCATTGGTATTGAGTTGATTTCTTTTCTTGAAACTTATTTGCGATTCACATGTAAAGGAAGCAAACGTTTCTTTAATTTAGCGTGTGCTTCATCAACGTCATGCTTTCCCTTTGCAACTCTTAAGTATGTGCAGGAAAAAGAACTGTATTTGTATTAGGATTCAGATGTATCCGAAACAGACACAATAAAGATGTGATTTAAATGATTGCCTGTGTCTGTAAAAAGCCTGGGAATATAGTAATGAAATGCAGCATTGTATTATTTAGTCAGCTCTACATATTTGCTTTATGCATAATAATAGATTTCACAGTCATAGCAGCTAGAGCTAGGACCTTCAAATGCATCCTAATTTGGGGTCCCGGATTTTCAGACAAAATTTTTCTAAGTTAGATTTTCAAAGTGTCCATTACCCCCAGTAGAAGAAATCTACTCTTGTAAGCCAATTACTTTATTCTATTTTGAGTTACATAATTTTTCTACATTAAGTATTCCTCATAATGGTTTTAAAATTAAAAAAGTAATAAAATAAGAAATGAAATTTTAAAAATAGCGGTTTTACTTAATGTATCATCTATGGACCAGTAGCACTGGTATCCCTTAGAAACTCATTGGAGATGAAGATCTCAGGCCATATTGTCACAGGGAGATTAGGTGTCAGATGTTACAACCTGTTAGATGTCAAATGTGCTGATACGTCTCCCAGTACCTGAAGGATGGCTCTGAGGGAAAAGGAGGTTAAGAGTAGGAAAAGTTTATTAAGAGAAAGCTGAGAGTCAGGAGGGGGCTTTGAAAGTGGGTTAGTGCTGAGGTTCTTCGGGTGTTTTCATACATGAAAATGGCCACGTGTCAGACCAGTGTGGGTCAAGATGATGCCAACCTATGGAGTTACAACAGCTTAGCTGATATTGATCCAATGGAGAAGTGAGGCATGTAGTGAGGGTGTATGGTGGGCATCACTAATTTCAGTTTATCTTTAACTTCTAACATAGAAAGATCAAAAGCATTTTGGGGAAAGGATAGGAATATGGGTCAGGGTGTTCTGGTCACCTGCCTATGCATCTGATGGCTTATGGAGGCTCACTGAACCAAGTGGTGCTGATTGTAATACAATTTAAAGCCACTCCTCTGTTTCTAAGGAGTCCTGCAGGCCTGGCTGCTTTGCAATTCCTCTCCAGCCACAATTTTTTTTTCTTTTTTTTTTTTTTGTACCAGGAATCGAACTCATGACCTTAGGCTTGCTGGGCAAGCACTTCTGCTGATGAGCTACATCCCCGGCCCCTCCAGCCACCATTTTGATGTGTCTCATCTTCTGCATTAACTCCTGGAGGGTCCAGTTCCACTCTGAGTACTTGTTAATTTCTAATTTAGCTGTCTGTAATAACATCTGAGACCCAATTCATCAGAACCTGTTTTAAACAAGAACTCTCTGATTCTATGTATACCTACATTCGAGATGTATTATCTTAAAAAAAAATTACAAGAGAGTTTAGCCCCCCAAAAACTCACATTCTCATCTAAATAGTGAAAACCCCTTTCATAAGTGGCATTTATTTATTTCTGAAAATGGAAGCATACTGAACATATTGTTTTGCAACCTATTCTTCTCAAAATGCATTGCAAATGTATTATCATGTCAACAAATACCTTTCAACATAATTGTAAAACGGCCACGCTGTATTTTATATATATGTATTATGATTTTATCATCCCCCTCTAGTCGTCATTAGAGTTTGCCATTGTTTAGATCAAATCTCTGTCTCTGTCTCTTACTGTGTCTCTCTTTCAAATCAAGTCATTTATTAGCTGCTTCACCTTAGGGAGGTTACTTGACTTCTTTGTTTCAGTTTCATCTATGAATAGGCCAACTAAAGCACCTACCTGATAGCAGGGATTCTGAGGATTAAATTCTGAGGATTAAAATAGATAACTGGTGTAGAGATCTTAAAACTGTTTTTCAGCATCCGTAGGTGGAACATTGTTTAACGAACCATAAATGTTTATTAATATTTATGAAAATTGCTATTTCCTTACAATCTTTTTGTTTTTCTTTTTTTCTGTGTTTTCTCATTCATATTTTCTCTCTTTCTCCACAGCTAAGTTTTTTCTTTTTTTGAGATGGGGGCTTCTTATGTAGTTCAGGATGGCCTTGAACTCAATACGTAGCCCATGCTAGCCTCGAACTTGTGGTGATCCTCCTGCCTTAGCCTCCGGAATGCTGAGATTTTAGGCGTGCCCCATACGTCCGACTCAATTTCTCTTTGAAGACAAGAAAATTTAGGTCACTAAGCTGGCTGGTTAGTAGCAGAAGCAGGCAGACTGGTCTTGTAAAATCTTTCCATTCTTGCTGTTGCTGTGACGTAGAGCGCCTGTGTAGTTCAAGAACTTGAAAAAGTAAATGCTTGTGGTAAGGAGGCTTGACTGCTGGGGTGAGCTTTTTTTGTTAGTAACTCTTGGCTGCTATTACAGACCCGTAGAAACTGCAGTTGCTATCTGGAAAAGGGAAGGTAAAAGGGCACTGATTTAAGCTTCAATCAATCCGCGAATAGGGCAATGCAGACCTGTGGTTTCCATGGTTACATATCCTGCTATTACAGCTTCCAGAAAATTTACACTGCGCAGGCGCAGATAGCTCATCGAGACACCCGGCGCCTTTCAGTTCGAAGAGGAAGCCCCGCCCTCCGCTTCCTGCAGTTCGCCTATCGCCTTTCCCTAGCTCGTTGCGAGTGTGTGACGCAATATTAGCGCGCCGGTGTCGTTTGGAGTTGCGACGCAGAATATGGCGCGTTCCTAGAAGCCGCTTTTTCGGCATCAGTAGGCAGCCGCCTGTGGACTGGCAGTGTGGAGCGCCGGACTGACTGACGCCACTTCGTGTTGAGAAGTGGGAGCGGGAGGGCCGGGCCATTCCGGACCAAACCAAGCGGTGAGGCCCCGGCTGGAGAGCCGCAGAGCGCGTGCGAGTGGGGGAAAGGGCTGGGCTGGGAGAGCCGTGAGGCAGGAGGGAACGTGGGACTACCGGGAGAGGAGGGATACAGTAGCGAGGCGAGGGCGGCCTGTAGGGCTGGCTCTCTGTGTAACCCTAGGAACCGCTGTTCGCAGGGAGCTCCTTGGGTCAGCCGGTCAGCTGGAAGCCTGACTGTGTAGGAATCCGAATGCGGGATGGCAGGCACTGTGCCAGGCTGAGAAGAGACGAGGGTGCTCATTGTGGCTGCGGCTGCGGGCCAGGGTGGTATATTTGGTGTTGGGGTATAAGTGATGCAAATTTTGGGGGATTGTGGTGTGGTATAAACCATTGCACATGATTTTTCCGTGCATAGTTTGGCGTTAATACTGTAGCAGTACAGTAAAGACTTTAAACACAAATCCCTTTCTTGCTTTTAATAAAAAAGTGAAGGAAGTTACACATTTTCCGAGAGGAGCTTCATACTGAGGTGTAGCTGCCACCGCTCAGGCTCAGCGACTTCTACAACTTTATGTTTGGGGACAACTTGTGATTCAGCAAAACTGTTCTGAAGTATATTGCATTTGTCATTTTATTTTGTAACATGGGGGTGAATGAGAGCAATAATCTTATGCCAGAGTGACTTGACATAGATAGAACTGGTAAACCGCCTACTGGTGCCAGCGTTGCGATTGACATACCCCCTCCCCTGTACAGTTGAAACGAGCTCAGTTACAGTGCAGTGGAGTCCTTGAGATTTGGTTATTCTTCAGAAGGGAGTAAGCAAGAGCAGTTCGCAGCCATAATGTTTTTCTTCCATGGATAGGGATTTCTGTCCTTCATTTTCACTTTATTTCAGACTTCTCAGCACAGAGCCTCAGGATAAGGGCAGTGACTGTATTATATGATGCATCTATCACATGACATTTTTCTTACGTCTTTCTTTACTGAGAAAGATTTCAGTGAAATTAGAATATTCGTCTATATTGGTTGCAGTGGGACTGTGGAATTTTTTGTGATGGCATCTAGCACAAGGTATACTAGAAACAGTAAAATTATGGTGTTGGGTTATGGCTATGTATTATAGCTCCAAGGTAAAGAGAATTCTCACAAATGCATTTCATTTCAGTAATGTTATTCAGAGATCCAAATAAATAAGTAAAAATTTGGTAATTTATAGAAAAATCTTTAGATCCCACACTAATCCTAGCGTTTTGCATTTAAAATACACTGAACATTTTGCTTAGAAATACATATATATATATTATACATATGCTTTTGTGGAACTAAAAATATTCCTTTTTTATGTTTGATTAGCTACCATTGTGTTATATTTGTGTGTATTTGTATTTAATCACATTTCTCCTAATTTAGTGGTGTTGATGGTAGTAGTATTCCTTTCTTTATCCTCATCAGATGGATACTATCATTTTGTTTCAGAGTGTCTTAGGGAATGGTCGTGCATTCAGTGCAGGTGTGAGTCTAGAGTGACCTTGTTTGATTTTCTGAGTATCAGGCTGATTACAGATAGTGCACAATTACAAGCTTTTTAGAGTTGGAGCCGAATCTGTTCCACAGCCTTTGTACTCAAACGTGATACACAGCATCACCTGAGATTTTGGTAGAAACGCGCCATCTCATTTAATTTGCAGCCACTGAATCAGAATCTGCGTTTTAGTGAGCTATTCCAATGACTGGAATGTTTAGTAAAGCTTGATGTGCACTATTTAGGTTGGTTAAAATTGATGATCAAGGTCATGCACTAGCCTGCATGAACATTATAGCATCTTTTATTTTAATCTGAAGTGACCTTATCCTGGTTATGAAGTCTGATTTATATGGTGAAAACACTGAGACCCAGAAATGATACATGACTTTCAAGAGGTCACACATCTAGATTCATGACCGAGGTCTGACTCATTCCAATGCTTGGGTTTTCCTAATCACTGCCAGAATTCATTATATTTAAACTGAACCAAAATTCATGAATGAGGGCTAGGTATTCATTCAACAACATTTATTGACTACTGGACAGGCAGCACGACGATTCTTTGTCCCTGCTATTTTTTGCAGGTTTTTTTTTTTTTTTTTTTGGTTTTTCTCCGGTACCGGGAACCGAACTCACGACCTTGCGCTTGCCAGGCAGGTGCTTTTGCCGCTGAGCTAAATCCCCAGCCCCTTTTTTGCAGGTTCTCAAGATCAGAGATTCTGGGTTTAGGTGTGAGTTTTATTTATTTTTTCTTCTTGTAGTACTGGGAATCAAACCTTAGTATGCTTCATCGATGAGCTACATCTCCAACCCCTTTTGATGTTTATGTTAGACATGGCCATACTAAGTTGCCCCTATTAGCTTTGAATTTATGATCCTACTGCCTCAGTCTCTGAAGTATCTGGGATTACAGTTGTGGTCACCATGCATGACAGCCAAATGTTTTTGAGTGTGCTTAAGTTATTGACTTAAAGTCCAACATGGTTGTGCATGCCTGTAGTCCCAACAGCACGCTTATAGTTCAAACCCTCAAGAGACTGAGACAGGATAATTGAAGGTTTTGGGCCAGCTTGGGCAACATATCAAGTTCAAGGCCAGCTGGACTGCAGAGTGAGACTGTGTCAAAAAAAACTTGAAACAATAACAAAAGGTAGGGGGTATAGTCTAATAAATTGAATTTAGACTTTGTTATTCCAGTTCATTATCTTGCTGAAAATTAGGCTTATAGCTTTTCCTTCCTATTTCTTTACGTTAAAGAAGAAAATTTAAAAGAAGCACAAAAATAAAAGAAAAAGTAAAATCAATAAGCATAATCAGTAGTTTTTTTTTACAGATGACTATTTTTATGTTTAGCTGCAACTAAAGAGGTGTCAGAAGGTCTTGGTGATACCATTTGGGGTCTTAAGATGTGTATTACATATAAGAGTACCATGGAGGAAGGAACACTTTACTATCTAGTGCAGGTAAAAATTTCCAGAGGTGATGTTTGCCACGAGCATCAACTTTAATGATTTTTGTATTAGCTGGTAGTTAAAAGACACACACAAACACATACACACACACACCCCAAAGTAGCAGCACTGTATTATGAAGCCTCATTGTTAACAATTATCCAGTATCAGTCTTATTTCATCTTACTTCCTATGTACTTCTCTGGTTTCCTAGGTAGGAGATTTAGAAGATTGGTTCAATTCAGGTGTGACTTTTTGTGTGTATGCATGGTGCTGGGGATTAGACCCGGGGTCTTCTGCATACTGGCACAAGTGCTGTACTCACAAGCTGTTCCCCCTAGACCAGCAGTCTTTCTCCTAATTTGGGATTTTTGGTTTCTTAAAATAGTGTTCTTTTCTTTAAGCTTTCCAATATGGTAATTTTTCTGTTTTCATTATCGTTGAACTGTTCCCCGATCTTCACAGAAATTAATTTGTTTCTGTCATAAACGCGTTGCTTTTCTGTAGTTTGCGTTTGACTTCAGAGCAGTTTTGTAGGATCTCCTGTCCCTAATTCTCCAAGAATAGGTCATCTAGCTGGGGATAGTGGCACATGCCTGAAATCCTAGACCTTGTCTCAAAAACCAAAAAACAGACAAAAAAAGAATAGGTCTTCTACCTTCTAACATTCTTTTTGTAGACTTGGGCTGTAGATCATGATTTAGGTTACAGAAATTTAACAGTATTAAAACAGTGCTCATCTTCCTTTCATCCCTTTGTGGGAAGGGGTATATGCTAAATACTGTGTGCTCTTATATTTTGTCAACAGGCTAATGTCTGGGTTTGTATGTGCTCAGTGTCCATTCTTCTGGGAAAAATTAGAGCTTTCTAGTTCTCAGTGTCACTTTTCTAATAGCTTGCATTTCACTGCTCTTTTCCCTCTTTCTGAACATTCATCCTTCTTTTAAATGTAGAACACTATGATGGTTCGCTAGGTGATTTTATTCTGCATATCCCTGCCCCTATCCTCATCCAGTTTCTCATTCTTCCTTTATACTAAAACATCGCTTACCTTACTACCTTTTATTAAATTTCTTCATATTTACTTTGACTAAAGCTCTTCATAGCTTTTCACCTTTTTATGGAGGGTACTTTTGTTGGTGCAGTTATTGATCCATAGAACAGGAGACAGTGCTGTAAGGAAGTTCTTTTGTTGTCATACTTTGCATCAAGATGATGTTTTTATTTTCATGTTTCAACCTTTCTTGCATTAAACATTACTGTTTGTTTGTTTATGTATTTGAGACAGGGTCTCACTATGCAGTTCAGGCTGGCCTTGAGCTCACTTTGTAGCCCAGGCTGGTCTCGAACTTGCAGTGATCCTCCTGCCTCAGCCTCCAGAGTGCTGGAGTTACAGGTGTGTGCCACTGTACCCAGCTTTAAAGATTACTCTTTAAACCCCAATCCATTTCTTCTCAAGAGCTCAGTACTTTTTGTGCTATACTCTTGAACCCAGAAGACTCTACTACATTTCCAGATGATTGTTCTGGCTAAGTGGCCAGTGAGATTTCCAAAGTTCTGCCCTTCTTCAACCCTGCTGGAGGGGAAAAGATGCCTGGAGCACTCTTTGGGGTGTGGTGCTTATTTCTTACCATGAGGTGGCGCTCCAGTTACTAATTTTTTTTTTTTTTTAAATACATCTTTTAAAATGGTAAAGTAGTACACTGTCTGGTAAAAACAAGTTGATGTGGGAAGTGTCATGGAGAATACTCAGAAATGAGAGTAAAGACACTGTTGCCAACAAATACAAAGCTACTTTTATGCTGTGGAAGTAAAGTGTACAATAAGCAAATAATAAGTTAGAATATTTTTTGATTTTTTTTTTTATCTTTTCCAGATTTTTAAATATTTCAGACTGTTGTCTTTATATGTACCAAGTAGTAACAATATTAAGTGCTTTGTAAAGACGACTATTTGATGTTAAAACTGCAGTGTGACTACAAGACTCATGTCTCTACCTGAGGAAAATTGTCTCTTAGTAAACATTCTGACAATGTAATGGA